CTTGCTTGATGGTCGAGCAGCGACACCCACAGACAAGAGAGCAGCAAGACCAGAAAAGCAGCGTGCGGGGGGGGGGGGAAAGAGCAGAGTATCAACAACAACAAAAAAGCACATGGAACGATGCAAAAAACAGAAAAACAAAAACAAGTCGCGACAGACCAGCACAAAAGCTCACACGACTCGGCTCCCCAGCGACTACAGTGAGCCGCAGCAAAGATCAGCATTGTAGAATGTGTGTCGAATAAGGAGAAGCAAGGAGACGGGGGGAGGCAGCTCTGCGCATGATCATCAAAGTCACACACCTTTACAAAAACGAAGAAAAAAAGAATGAATGGATTTGGATGGCAGTTATTCAAACCTCCCATAAACGCAATCTCCATCACAGACACAAAAAGATGCAAAAGTTAAAATCAAGTGGTTGTGAGACTCGGAATGATTTGAAAATTTGTGCTTCCTGTTGTATTGTTATACCAACTGGGGGTGAAATCGCCAAAACGACAAGCAAAGCAGAAAAAGCCGCAGAGCACGACATTTAGAAGAAGGTGTGGGGGCGCTTGGCAAGGAACTTTGCCTTGGACTTGAGGACGCGGTGGGGCAGGGGGAACTTGAGCGCGTTGTCGTGGAACTGGGTGACAGCGACACGGCGGCACTTGGCGGCGGGGATCTCGGCAGCCTTGATGATGTGCAGGGAGCGGCCACGGACGCGGTGGCGGGCAGCCATATCGCGGTAGCACGAGGTGACGGCGCCAGCGATGGTGAGGTCACGGAACTCCTTGTACATGTTGTGGTGGTATGAGCGCGAGTCGTAGCGAGCCCAGACGCCAAAGTTCTTGATGGTCTTGGGCTTCTTCTCGTGGATCTCAGAGCAAGAGACGACCTCGCCGGAGGTCTTCTTGAACTTGCGGAGCTTGGAGAGGAAGTACCAGAAGCGCGAGCGAGCAACGATGTCGTTGGGGGCGAAAATCTTCATGCGGTAGAGCTTGGTGACCGGCTCCTTCTCGGTGGGGAGCTTGCGGCCGATGATCTCGAACTGACGGAGCTGCAAGGGGGGAAAGCCAAGGCAACCACGTCCACGTCCAGCGTGAGTGTCGTGTGAAACAAGACATGGGGTGGGTCGGGGGAAGGCAAAAAAAGCCAAAAGAAAAAAAAAAAAAGTGGCGCTCCAGTGCAAACGGCTTTCTATCGCATCGCAGCCACCGTCCAGCGAGCCCCTGCGACGGCGAGCCGGCACCCAGCACTTCCAAAAGCGCGTGCTGATCGGGAGAGTGGGGCCCACACGGCGAGCGTGCAAGCACCAAGACGCGGGCAAGGCTTTCAAAAGCTGTCCAGCAAGACCAAGTTCCGGCGACCGCACTGTCTCCCCCACTTGCCACGGCCCTTTCGCCGTCATCTGGCGTCGCAATACCACTCCCCAGCCTCTAATCCGATATAGCAGGTCGATGTGCATCGGATTGGACAACTTACAGCGCCGGTGACACGCATGATTAAGGAACAAGAGAGAGCGAACAGAGACGCCTCGACCAAATCGGTTGAGTTTTTTTTTTTCTTTAGTAATTTTTGGTTTTTTTTTTGTTCCATTGGATTTGCCAATCATTATTTTCCATCAGCCGAGGAAAACCTGCGCCTGTATGTCTAAGCTGTAGAAATTGATCGAGTTAGAACGGTCAACCTCAGAAGAGGTGTACGTTGGTTGTTGAGAGGCAGGACGGCAGGTTTGGTTGTCAACGTCCCTTCAGACACGGTTTATTGCTCGTACCCATTCTCTACCTTCGAGTGTAACCTGTACATTTATTCTTGTTGTAGTTGCAAGGACACACGAGGTTGGGGCGCGAGTTTGGCGACTTGTGGGGCCTCGCAACACCAAAAACCAGACAATCGCTTGAGCAATTTGGCACTTTGGCAACTCGGAAAAAAACCAACAACAACAACAACAACAGGCCCAGCCAGCATGAACACATTCACTTTCGTCGATCCTTGTTGCGTTGCATGACCCGGTCGATGACATCTTGAGGCAGGCAGTAGACAGAGTTGACCGGCTTGATTGCCAAACCCGCGCTGACACCCACCACGCCTTCCTGGTCGGATTGCACCTTGGCATCCGGAGCACCCAGACGGGCAAGCAGGGACAAGCCTGCCAGACCAAAGACGGTGTGGTAGGGATCGCTCATGTCATCCGGACGATCGGCAATGCCACCAGCAACATCGTCCTGGCAAGCGAGAATGAACTTGGCGAGTCGCTCGGCATCAATCCACTGCAGTCGGTCCAGCATGCACATGGACGACAGCACCCACCACGAGTAGCACACATCGGGCAGCTTCTCGGGGCGGCCGTTCAACCCGCCGGATTTGGGCAACTGTCTCTCTGCGAGCCACCAGCCCAGCTGATCGCGATCGACGCACGCATCCACGGCTCCAGCAATCGTCAGAGCACCAAGACACACGTACACTTGCGAGGCGTGAGACTCGGAGCCCGGCACACGACCAAAGCCGCCGTCAAAGTTGGCCGTTGATTGAATAAACCGGACGGCAGCCTGGACGTCAATGGCGTCGAGTCTTCCAAGGAGAGACAGACATGCCATCGCACACAACGAGAACCGCGTGTCCACCTCGCCCCAGACGTCGCCGACAAACGAGCCGTCCGGCTGCTGCAGCGACGCAACAAACGCCACCGTGGCTTCCTCGTCAATCGCGTCCAGTCGGTCGAACAAGCACAGAATTTGCACAGCAGACAGCGTCGACAGAACATGCGCATCGTGACCAATACTTGCACCAAAGCCTCCTCGCTGAGAAGCCGAGGCGGCGACGAGCTGCTTGACGTACTTTTGGCGAGCTGCTTCCTGTGCTGCGTTTGTGCGTGCGTCCGTGGAAGGGGTTGCATCGCTGCCAACCCCTGTGTTTGTGTCTGGCGCATTGGGCAATGCCTGGCTCGGGAGCGATGCAGCGGCAGCAGCGGTCGCATGAGAGGCATCAACTGTGCGGCTCCTCAGCGCCTCGCTCGCCTCCAGCTCTGCAAAGGGCGCTGGCGGGTTTCGGTGCTGGCAGTCGCGCACAAATGTAACAATAGCCTCGCGGTCCATCTGGTCGAGCGCCCCCATCAGGTCGAGCGCCGTCAGCGACCAGAACATGCCGTTCATGCGCAGGTGCTCTGTGACGGCATACTCGTACGGGTTGTTCGCAGGCGTGTAGCCAACCAGGAACTCGACATGCTTCTTCAAGAGCAATGGGTGGATTGTGGATGGCAGCGTGGCGTCTTTGCTCTCGTACGACGCCTGTCACACACAAAGTGCAAGTGCAATCATCATGTCAGCCAAAGCCACAGTCACAGTCACAGTGTTCACTTTGGGCAGCAAACCACCAAAAAGAACATCCAATGCGATCTGTTCACATCCGAGTGCATTGCTTGTCGGTTGACGGAGCACCAGCATGATGTGAAATTGTATGACGCACCATTTGGACCGTGGAGTGTCAAAAGACTGTGCGTTTTTTCTGTGTCGAATTTCGGTTTTGCTGCAATGTTGGATTTTGAGTCATCGTCAAAGTATTCAAAGTGTTTCTTGTTGGTGAATGGATGCATCATCGTCTTGTACAAACTACCACGATTTGGCCGATTTTCGCAAGTGTCAACTTTGACAAATCAGCACCTCAGAACCAAAAAAAAAAAAAAAAAAAAAAAAAAATCCCGATTGCTGCAGGATTTCAAGGCAGCGGTGCGCCTCACCCGCTCCTTTGCTGGTTCCTTGCGATTGCTGTTGCTGTTTTGTCCGTGCAATGTACGCATCGAGAGCTCTCGGATGACCATCGGATTCAGACCTCCAAGAGATGTGAAGTTATTTTGTATTTTTCTTTGAACAAAGCACTCTTCTTTTTTGATTTTTTTTCAACTTGAATTAATTTCCCAACGCCATGGATTCTCGCATCAAGGAACTCGGCGCGGATCGCACCCTCGTGCAAAAGAAGACCTTCACCAAGTGGGTGAACATGCATCTCGCCAAGGTCGGCCTCAAGGTACGACAAGCCATGCAAAGCCGATGAGTAATGAGAAGAAGAAGAAGAAAAAAAAAGAAAAAAAAGAAAAAGAATCATGTGTGTGCTTCGCTTTCAACTGTGAGCGAACATTCTTCGCGCAGGGCATGGTGCGTGGACGACCTGAGCGCGGCGGCCGGCGCATGCACGCTGGATGGCTGTGCTCGCATTCATCTCGCCACTCCATGCGCTCGGGGGCGACTGACGATCGAGCCCGAGCCATGGCTGCAGCGCATGCGCAAAGAAACGGCTCGCCGAGACCCGAAAAAAAAAAAAAAAAACCACGAAAAAAGGAGGGGAAAAAAAAAATGCATCATTGAGCAAAATGCGAATCGCTTTCGACCTCAAACGCCAACGATGGCAGAGCCACGGAGCATCAGAGTAGAGAGAGCGAGGGAGTGGAGTGGAGTGGTAGCCACAGACATCCCGATCGCATGGCTCGCGGGTCCTCCTTTCGAAGGCACAACGGGCAGATCTAGCAAAGAGATTTACATTTTATTTTTCGTTTTTTTATTCATTTTTTTTTTAACAAAACTCGTTTTTATTCAAAAATTGAAAATGGCAATAACGAAAAAAAAAAAAAAGAAAAAAAAAAAAGAACGTCCAAAGCCATCGCATTGCGGCTGTGCTGCTGTTGCCAGGGGGCCACTCGCGGTTGAGCACGCGGATGGCATAGGAGCGACAGCAATGAGACCGATTGTGTTCCGTTGGCTTGGTGCATCCCTGGCCAGCGAAAAGCAGCAGAACAACATCACAATGCTGCAGTGAAGATCGGGATTGTGGAAATAAAAAAATAAAAAAAAGTGTTTCGATGTTGTCATTTCCAAAAAAAAAAAAAAAAAAAAAAAGAGGCATTTTTTTCAGTGCCAACCTTTTTTTTTTTTTCAACAGATCTTGCTTTTGAGCTCTTTCGTTGTCTTTTGTTTCGCTTGCATTCATCACACTTTCCTCTGCAAAAACGAATTTTTTTTTTTGCAACGATGGTGGCAACTATGCCACTTTGCCACAATATGAAATGGTTGAGAATGAGCGAGCAAACGAAACAAACTGCAAATATGCAGCAACCAAAAAACCCACAAGTTCTTTGTTGCGGTACATGCCCTGTCACGTACAAATATGACATGTGGCTGAGAGTATCCGATCTGGTGAAAATCAAAAGCAAAAGACTATGTTCAGATGGTCAGATTTGAGACCGATCAATACTGTATTTTTTCTTTTTTTCTCTTTTGTTCGTTTTGTTCTTTTCATGTTTGATTGTTCTTGTACTCACCTTCCCTCCCTCTCTCTCTCTCTCTCTCTCTCTCTCTCTCTCCCCCCCCAATCATCCCGAATTCTCGACATGCTCCATTTTTCTCCTTCTAGTGCGACGATCTGTACATGGATCTGCGTGATGGCACAAAGCTCCTCAAGCTGCTCGAGATTATCAGCGGCGACACACAGGCTCGCCCCGAGAAGGGCAAGATGCGTGTGCACTTGATGAGCAACATGCGCTCGGTGCTCGACTACCTGAAGCGCAAGATTACGATGGAAAACATTGGCCCGGAAGATCTTGTCGACGGTAACGGCAAGCTCACGCTCGGTCTGATTTGGACCATCATTCTTCGTTTCCAAATCCAAGACATTAGCATGGAAGCGCTCTCTGCCAAGGAGGCCCTGCTCTTGTGGTGCCAACGCAAGACGGCTGGCTACCCCGGCGTGAACGTCCAAGACTTTTCAAAGTCGTGGAGCAACGGTCTTGCCTTTAATGCCCTGATTCACAAGCACCGCCCCGACCTGCTTGACTTTAACGCTCTGTCGAGCGGCGACCCCGTCGCCAACCTCAACAAGGCCTTTGATATCTGCGACAAGGAGTTTGGCGTTGCCAAGCTGCTCGACGTCGAGGACGTGAACGTTGACCGCCCTGACGAGCGCTCCATCATGACGTACGTGGCTGCGCTGTACCACTACTTTAACTCGCACAAGGACGAGGGCCTTGCTGCCGGTCGTGTTGGCAACGTTGTCGATTTCCTCGCCGAGATTGACGCCATGCAGGAGCAGTACGAGAAGATGGCCACGGATCTTCTTGCCTGGATTCAGGCCAAGCGCGAGCGTCTCGATTCGCGTGACTTCCCCGACACGCTGCCCTTGCTCCAGGGCAGCACCACCCAGTTCTCGCAGTACCTCAAGGAGGAGAAGCCTGGCAAGTACACTGAAAAGAGCAACCTCGAAGTCCAGCTGTTTGACATTCAGACCAAGCTGCGCTCGCGCGGTCTCATCGAGTACGTGCCTCCGGGTGGCAAGAGCGTCCGCGATGTCAACAAGGCCTGGACCAAGCTCGAGCGCTCCGAGCACGAGCACGAGCAAGCTCTCCACAAGGAGATTGCCCGCCAAGAGCGTCTGGAGCACCTCGCCCAGCGCTTCAACCGCAAGGCTGGTCTCCGCGAGCAATGGCTGGCCGAGTCGACTCGCCAGCTCCAAGATGTCGAGACGACCAATGCTGCTGCCACCGCCTCGAAGGACTTGCACGCCGTCCGCGGTCTGTCCGCCAAGCTCGACTCGATCGACACGGACGTTCGCGCGCACGAGGACCACGTCGACTCTCTCACCGATCTCGCCGAGGAGCTTGCCGACGGCAAGTACCACGCTCGCGCCGAGATTGCCGCACGTGACGCGGCAGTCGGCCAAAAGTTCAACGAGCTCGACGCCCTTCTGGCCAAAAACCGCGATGCCCTCGATGCCAGTGGCCTGGTGTGCCACTACCACAGCGACGCCGACGATGCCGATGCCACCCTGCGCGAGGCACAGATTGTCGCCACCTCCGACCTCCTTGGCCGCGACGTCGACTCTGTCACCAAGCTGCTTGACGACCTGCGCCAGACTGAGGAGGAGGTTGCGCGCCAGGGCCAGGTCCAAATCACCGACCTGCGCGCTCGCTCGAACGCGATCGGAAACACTGAGCACTCGCACGTCCAGCCTGCGAACGCCGCCGAGGTTGCCGAGCGCCAGGCTGCTCTTGAAGCCCTGCACGCCGAGGTGCTCAAGCAGCTTGCCGACCGTCGCAAGCGTCTCGAGCAAGCCCTGGCCGCTCGCCGCTTTGAGGTTGACGCCCAGGACGAACTTGCCTGGATTGCCGACCGCGAGCCCACCGCCGCCTCCACCGACGTTGGCTCCGACCTGACTTCGGCCCGCAACTACCGCCAGAGGCACGCTGCCTTTGAGGTTGAGGTCAACGGCCACGAGCCGCGCATTCACCAAGTTGTTGCTGCCGGCGCCGCCCTGCTGTCGGGCACCAATGACGCTCACGACCAACAGGTCAAGAAGACGAGCGACGACGTTGAGGCGCAGTGGAAGCACCTGAAGGAGCTTTCCGCGCAGCGCGCCAAGCTTCTTGACGACGCTGTTCGTGCCGAGCAGTACCACGCCGATGCCACTGAGGCCGAGTCGTGGCTCTTTGAGCAAGAGTCCGTTGTCAACTCGGGCGACCTTGGCAAGGACGTCGAGAGCACTGAGGCCCTCATCAAGAAGCACGACGCCCACGAGGCTGCAATCAACGCGTACAGCCAGAGCATTGGTGGCCTCCAGCAGCAGAGCAACTCGCTTGGCGCGGACAACCACCCGTCCAAGGACATCATCTCTGACCGCCAGGGCGCCATCGACGACCAGTACAACAACCTCAAGGAGGCTGCTGGCGCGCGTCGTCAACGCCTGGTCAACGCTCTTCGCCTGCACACGTTCGAGCGTGAGGCTGACGGCCTGGAGCGCTTCTTGCAGGCCAAGGAGGACATTGCTCGCTCGGAGAACATTCCCCACGATCTTGAGCACATTGAGGCCTTCCAGCGCAAGTTTGACAAGCTCGACCAAGACTTGGCTGCTGGCACAGACCGCGTCGACCGCGTCAACTCTCTTGGCGATGGTCTGACCAAGGAGGAGCATCCCGAGTCCGAGAAGGTGGCTGCCCGTCAGGCCGAGCTGAACGATCGCTTCAACAAGCTCAAGGAGCTTGCCGCCGCCAACAAGGACCGTCTGCAAGGCGCCCGTGGCGTTGAGCAGTTTGGCCGCGAGGTCGACGAGACCAAGTCCCGCATGGCGTCCAAGGATGCCGCCCTGGGCAGCGCTGACGTCGGCACCGACATTGGCTCTGTGCAAGAGCTGCAGCGCCGTCACGAGGCTCTGGAGCGCGACCTCGATGCCATCAAGAACAAGATTGGCAACCTCAACGAGCTTGCAGACAACCTCACCAACGACGCAGACCGCCCCGCCGAGCAGGTTGCCGCCGTTCGCGAGAGCCAGAAGGAGCTCAACGACGCTTGGGCTGCTCTCAGCGCCAAGTCCGACGCTCGCCGTGACCAGCTGGCTGCCGCACTGAGCCTCCAGGAGTTCTTGGCCCGCGCTCGCGATATCACCTCGTTCATGAGCAACATTTCCGCCGTTATGGCGGCCGAGGAGCTTGCCAAGGATCTGGTCCGTGCTGAGGCCATGCTTTCCAAGCACCAGGAGCGCAAGGGCAAGATGAACGCCAACGCCGACTCGGTCAAGGCTCTCGACGAGACGGGCGCCGAGCTGATTGCCGCCGACCATTTCGCCAAGGCTGACATCCAGGCTCAGCTCGACCGCATCCATGCCGAGCAGGACAAGCTTGGCCAGCAGTGGGCCACTCAGGCACACAAGCTCGGCCAGTGCCGCGACCTGCACATCTTCTACCGCGATGCCGACCAGATTGACGATTGGATTGCCGGAGAAGAGACCCAGCTCTCGCGCCAGCGCAACAGCATTGCCGACTCGCTCGAGGCTGTCCGTCTCATGATCCGCCGCAACGACGAGCTTCGTCGCGCCATTGCCACCGAGGAAGAGACTGTTGCCCGCCTCGACACGCACGCCAAGCGTCTTGGCGACGAGAAGCACTACGATGCGTCCAGCATTGACACTCGTCGCGACGATGTCCTCGCCAAGTTTGCCGCCCTCAAGGCGCACGCCGACCAGCACGCCCAGGATCTTGCCGGTATGCTCCGCATGCAGCAGGTTGCCAAGGACCTTGCTGACGCCCAGCAGTGGGTGGACGACAAACTCCAGTCCTCCTCCTCGCTCGACCTTCCCCCGAGCCAGGACGGCGTTGTGAGCGACGCGGATGTTGCCGATCGCCTCAAGCGCCTGGAGGTCTTCCAAGCCGAGCTTGACGCCAACCGCGACCGCATCGATGCTGTTCGCAAGGCCGCTGACGAGCTTGCTGCCACCGGCATGCCCGGCACTGGCGCGCTCGGCGACGACAGCGCTGCCCTCGGCCAGGACTTTGACAACCTGGTCGCCGCTGCTGCCGCCAAGGCCCAGCGCATTCGCGAAGCTGGCGAAGCCCAGGCGTTTGCCAAGGCCGCCAAGGACATTGACGTCTGGCTGGATGAGGCTGCCACTGCCCTCCGCAACGAGGACGTTGGCAAGGACCTCACTGGCTCGACTGCCCTTCTCGACGAGGTCAAGCGCGTCGACCGCGAGATTGCCAGCCACGAGCCGGCTATTCAGGAGCTCCAGGCGCTTGCCAAGTCCCTCGCCGAGAAGAACGTCTCTGACGCGCCCGCCATCCAAGCTCGCGCTGACGCCATTTCTGCCCGCTTTGCCGAGCTGCCTCCGCTTGCTGACGGCCGCAAGAAGAAGCTGGATTACGTCATTGAGCTGCATCGCTTTGCCCGCGACGTCGACGACGAGCTTGCCTGGATTGGCGAGAAGGACAACGTTGCCGCCAGCACCGACTATGGCAAAAACCAGACTTCCGCCCAGAGCCTGCAGAAGAAGCACATTGCCTTTGAGGCTGAGCTCTCTGCTCACCAGCCCAGCGTGGACGGCGTCTCGAGCAAGGGCCGTGAGCTCGCCGCCGCTGTTCCCGAATCTGCCGAGTCGATCAACGCCAAGGTTGACGATGTCCAGACCAAGTGGAACGCGCTCAAGCAGAAGGCTGCCGACCGTGGCGCCAAGCTTGACGAGACTGTCGACTTTTTGCGCTTCAACGCCGAGCTCGACGAGGAGGAGTCGTGGGTCAAGGATCGCCAGGCACTGCTCCAGTCGAACGATCACGGCGACTCGCTCCCGGCCACCGCCGCGCTCGTTCGCAAGCACGACGAGTTTACTGCCGATCTTGGTGTCCACCAGGAGCACGTCAAGAGCATTCTCGCCATTGGCGAGCGTCTGCTGCAGCAGGGCCACTACCAGGCGCCTGCCATTGCTTCGCGCATGGAAAGCGTCGAAAACGGCCTGGCCGTTCTCGGCGATCTGTCGCTCAAGCGCCGCAGCCGTCTCGACGACGCCCTCAAGTTCCACCAGTTCAACAACGCTGCCGACGCCATCTCGGCCTGGATCAAGGCTCACGACCAGCACGCCTCGTCGACCGACTACGGCCGTGACTTGGTTTCCGTCAAGTTCTTGGCCAAGCGCCACGGCGACTATGTTGTCGTCCAGGACGCCTTCCAGAGCCGTGTGGATGACCTTGGCACCTTCAAGGACCAGCTCGTTGCCGCCTCGCACAAGGACAGCGCTGCCGTTCAGGAGCACCATGGCGCTGTTCTGACTCAGTGGAACACCCACCGCGACAGCGTGCAAAAGCGCACCGACAAGCTCGCCAGCGAGCAGAAGCGCTTCCAAGAGCTCGACGAGCTCATGCTTCTCTTTGCCAAGAACGCTGGTGTCTTCTACAACCGACTCGAGAATGCCGAGGAAGACTTGTCCGAGTCTGTCCGTGTCAACGACCTGGCTGAGGTTGAGGCTCTCAAGACGGAAGATTTGCGCCACCGCGATTCTCGCGAGCAAATTGCTGCCGACCTGAAGGTCCTCACCGATCTCCAGGGCCAGCTGAGCGGCCAGGGCGTGTCGAACAACCCTTACACTCCCTACACGATCAACCAGCTCACTGAGAAGCATGCCGACTTCCTCAAGCTCATCGACACGCGCTTTGAGGCTCTCAACACTGAGACCAAGCGCCAGGAGAAGAACGAGCAGCTGCGCAAGGAGTTTGCCCAGAAGGCCAACGCTCTTGGTCAGCAGGTGGTTGCCATCCGCGCCTCGCTGGTTGAGGGCTCTGGCAGCCTCGACGAGCAGCTCAAGTCGATCGAGGAGCGCCACAAGTCTGTCGCCACGCTCTCCGCCGCCCACAAGGAGGTTGAGGTTCTCGGCCACAAGCTCGAGGAGGAGCGCATCTTCAACAACCCGCACACCGAGCACACGCCCGTTTCGCTTGCTCAGCAAATCGATCAGCTCGACCAGCTTGCCAACCGTATGAAGTACAATGTCAAGCAGCAGATTGACGCGCGCAACAACAAGGGTGTCACCGAAGCTCAGCTCCGTGAGTTTGAGACCACGTTCAACCACTTTGACCGCAACAAGTCTGGCACGCTGGACTATGCCGAGTTCCGCGGCTGCCTCATTGCTCAAGGCTACGATGTCCAACAGCCCAAGGACGGCGGTTCCGACGAGGCGTTCGAGAAGATCATCCAGCAGGTCGACTCCAACCGCGACGGCAACGTCAACAAGGAGGAGTACATTGACTTTATGATTCGCCGCGAGACCACCAATGCGACGAGCCAGGACGACATTGTTACTGCCTTCAAGCAGATGGCCGGCGATCAGCCGTTCGTCACCAAGCGTCAGATTACCGAGGGTCTTGGCGCAAAGACCGCCCAGTACTGCTTGCAACACATGAAGCCGTACCAGAACGACTCTGAGAAGCTCGACTACCAGACCTTCATCGACCACATGTTCACCCAGTCGCAGGCCCGCAAGGAGCGACAGGACGAGGCTGATGCCTTTGCCAAGATCGAGAAGGAGTCTGATGCCAAGGAGGAGGCTTCGCGCCACGAGGACGCCCAGCGTCGCGAGCAGAGTGCCGCCGAGGTTGCTGCCAACCGTGACGGCCGCCAGAAGGCCCGCAAGGACGCCCGTGCGAACGAGCGCGTTGCTCGCTCCCAGAAGGAGGCCGAGCGCAAGGCTCGCCTTGACGCCGAGGCTGTGGCCAAGGCCGCCAAGGAGGAGGCCCAGCGTCAAGCCGCCGAGACACGCGCCCGCGAGGACCGTGAGCGCAAGGCACGCGAGGATGCCGAGCGCAAGGCCCGCGAGGAGCAGGAGAAGCGCGAGCGTGCAGAGCGCGAAGAAGCCGAGCGTGCTTTGAAGGCTGAGGCCGAGCGCAAGGCTCGCGAGCAGCGCGAGGAGGCTGAGCGCAAGGAGCGTGAGGACATTGAGCGCGTTGCCCGCGAGGCTGCCGAGCGCAAGGCCCAAGAGGAGGCAGAGCGCAAGGCCAAGGAAGAGGGCGAACGCAAGGCCAAGGAAGAGGCTGAGCGCGTTGCCCGTGAGGAGGCTGAGCGCAAGGCACGTGAAGAAGCCGAGCGTAAGGCCAAGGAAGAGGCTGATCGTCGTGCCCGTGAGGAGGCCGAGCGCAAGGCCAAGGAGGAGGCCGAGGCTCAGGCCCGCGAGGCCGAGGAGGCTCGCATCCGCGAGGAGCAGGAGCGCAAGGCCCAAGAGGAGGCTGAGCGCAAGGCCCAGGCTGAGGCCGAGGCGCTTGTCCAAGCCGAGAACGAGCGCAAGGCTCGTCAGGCCGAAACCGAGCGCAAGGCTGCCGAAGAGGCTGCTGCTCGCAAGGCTGCTGAGGAGGAGGCTGAGCGCCGCGCCCAGCAAGAGGAGGCGAATCGCCGTGCCCAGCTCGCTTCCGCGTCCAGCACTTCGACGACCTCGGTCGAGTCGCCCAACGGCTCCGCGACCAACCTCGACAAGGCTGGCATTGCCTCGCCCGACAAGAAGGGCGCCGACAAGAAGGCTCTGAAGGAGGCCGACAAGAAGGCCAAGGCCGAGAAGGAGGAGGCCGACAAGAAGGCCAAGGCCGAGAAGGAAGAAGCCGACAAGAAGGCCAAGGCCGAAAAGAAGGAAGCCGACAAGAAGGCCAAGGCCGAGAAGGAGGAGGCCGACCGTCGCGCCAAGGAGGAGAAGAAGGCCAAGAAGGGTCGCGGCTCTGATGCTGCAGCTGTCCCCGCTGCCGCCGCCCCTGCCGAGTCGTCGTCGGCATCAACAAGCGAGTCGGCTGCAGAGCCCACCGCGTCCGCTGCTGGACCCCAGGCCACTGTTACCGTCAGTGAGCCCCAGGAGTCCTCGTCGTCCACGCCCGCCCCCGCCCCCGTTGTTGCCCCGCTGCCGACCAACCCCGATGGCTCTGTCGACTTTGCCAAGACCGATGACGAGCAGGTCCGTGCCGCTGCTCTGGCCGTCGTGACTGGCGACGACAAGAAGTCCAAGCGTCGCTCCATCAACCTCAACCTCTTCAAGGCCAAGAAGGAGGATGACGAGTCTGGTGCTGCTGCTGCTGCTGCTGCTTCCACCGATGCCGCTACACCCGAAAAGGACAAGAAGAAGGACAAGAAGAAGAAGTAAAACACGAGCATCTTGGTTGAGATTGGTTGATTTTTTTTTTCCCCCGTTGGTCTTGTTTTGCTCCCAAGTGTACTTTGTTTCGTGGTGATTACTTTTTCTGTTTGTTTCTTTTTTCCCCCCTTGCATGTTTTTTGACTACCTGTATTTGTGGTTGTTTGCTTTTGTGCTTTTTTTTTGGTGGATGAGCTGTTTTGTTTTGAGTGATGCCGAAATGAAATTGATTTCTTCCCTGTTTGGTGTGTCCCAGTACAATTGGATCTTCTCTGTAGTGCTTAGTTGTCCACTCTACTACTTGCTTGTTGCCACAAAACCACATTGTGCGCGTGCACACTCACACACACAACACGCTTGGCAGTTTGGACAATGCTGACGCGAGGGTGGTCGTGGTCGTCACGACAATCCACCCAATCCGCCGCTTGTCACTCCGAGCTGTTGACTGCTGTGCTTCACGCGCGACGCAATGCATCTCAGCCAGCTGACTGTCGGTGGATGTCGACTGCGGCGATCAAGCCATCCTCCTCGTCGTCGCGCAGGGCTGCGGCTGTGGATTCAGCTCCTGTCTTTGACGACCTGGGCGCAGTCCCGACCCGATCACCGCGCCAGGCTACACAACCAAGCAAGTCTCCCACGATGAGCACGTCGGATCGTCGCGAAGGTGGATCACCACCGCGGAACACGCATCGCCAAGACGCGCGGGAATCTCCTCGCGCCACCAACGCTCACCATGTGCCGCCGCTGCCACCTGCGTTCTCCAGTTCAAGTCATCCACGCAGGCAGACGGTGACACCGACGCGCGAGACTTTCAAGGAATTGCCAAAGCACGTGGCGCAGGCGACACTGGCCAAGTATGCAGCTCACAGTTCCACCAGCGACAACGACGCCCGCAACAACTGGCCACCGACAAGCTTCCCCACCTCCATGGATGGAGAAGAAGTTGCAGAAGACCTCAGTCAACATTCCTCTCCGACAGACGTGGCAACTACTGCTTCGCCAAGTGCTCGCATCTCGGAGAGGTTGGCCAAACTCGCCAAACAGCCGCCATCGTCACGACTGCGTGAAGAGTATGACAATCTGATTGCCGAGGCGGCAGACCATGCGCTCCCAAACCTTGCCTTCCGAATCCTCAACGCGATGAAAAAGCAACAGATGCCGCCAAGCGAGTATGCCTACTCGATGGCCATTTCGGCGCTTGGTGCGAGCAACTCACCAGACATGCTCGCACGATCGTTGGCGCTTCATGGCGAAGCCCTGCAGCGGAAGCGGTACGATCGTCTTGTGCTTCGTGCAGCCATTTTGGTCTGTGGCAAGGCAAACCAGCCGCAAATTGCTGCACAACTGCTCAAAGAAGCCGTCTTGCATGACGCCTCCATTGCGGCCTCCGAAGTCATCGAGGTCGTAGCGTTGTCTGCCCGCTCTGGGGAGTTTGAACTTGCCCACAGCGTGCTGCAGTCATTTGCAAAGCCACATTACGCGCCGCATCTTTACGTGCTTTTGCGCGTGTTTTCCTCCAACGCCCAAGTGTGGCTGGCTCAACAGATCGATGAGATGCGGTAAGACGGACTCTCGGTTTTGGTGTGTTGTTGAGGTTGCTCTCTCTCGCTCTCTCTTCCACCCAAGTTTTGCTGTTGTCTCTGACTTGACCCATTCTTGCTCTCCTTCGGCCACGCCAAGCCTCGAGGACTTGTACACGCGACCAGCAGATGCTCTGTTTGCCAAGTTAATATTAGCCCTCGAACAGCATCGACTCGTGCTCGAAGCGTTGGCACGCATTGCCGACACTTGCCTACCGCTCATTCGGTCGCTGTCTCTGCGCGTGCAGCTCGTCATGCTCGCCTCTTACATTCACACACAGTTGCCGATGGCCTTCATTCATCGCTGGATCTTGCATGTCACGGAGGCCAAGCTGAATGGCGCGCCACCGTCGTCGCTCCCGGCGGCAGACAAGCTCCCAGACGTGCTTCGCATGCCTGTCATTGCTGCAAGCGCTTTTCCCGAGTCCCCTCTTCCACCCATCGAGCCGCTGCTTCCTGCGCAAACTGACGGCCTTATTGCTGCGCTGGACGGAGAGCGGTCTCGTCAACTCAAGGACAAACTCGACCGCGACGCGCTTCGTGCAGTGTCTGGGCATTGGACGGCGGCCAACATTTACTTCTCGGCCAACTACCCCAAGCTCAAGCGACTCGGAATCGCCCCGTTTGGGACCATTTCTGCCGACCGACAAAGTCAGCTGCGTGCTGTCAAGCCCACAACTGCCGGCGCAATCGCCGTTGTGCTCGAGAGCCATCGCCGCAAGGTGCTGGCCCTGGCCCACCAAATCACCAAGGACCACTTTGCTGTCTTTGACCCGAAGAGTACGGTCGATGAAGCCGCCGAACTAGAGTTTGATCCGAATGCGTCTCGCGAAATCCTGGATGTCAGCACGATGAGCTGTTTGATTCAGGCTTGCGGCGCGCTCGGTGCGGTGGACGCGGCCATGAAGGCTTTCATTTTTGGCGAGAAGCTCCTTCAACGTCGACAGCCCTCCAGCATGGTTCGCATTCACCCGATCGAAGTGCAGCGTGTCGTACTGCGTGGCGCCATTGCGCGAGTCCTGGCAGACAACCACCGCTATGCCCTCGTGCGACCCATTTTCCTGACTTGGATGTCTGAGTTTGATCCGAGTGCACGCCTTCCGTCCTACGCTGGCCCTCGCCTCGACTCTGCCTCGACCAGCACATCAGGCCTTCGGGCTCCGGTCCGCGCTGCCATCCGGTTTGCCTCCGACCTGGCGCAGGCACACAGCAATTTTGTCGCCAGCGCACCAGGAGTGCTGGTCGCGGCAGCCATTGAAGCCGCCGCTGCGACCAACGACTACTCGCTGGCTGGGCGTGCACTTCACCAGATGATTGTCCGTGATTTGCGAGTCCATCTGCAACCCGATGTTCAAACCGCCTTGTTTGTGCTCTTTTCAAAGTTTTTCGCCCTCAAGCCGCCAGGGCTCACCCGACCCAAGGTGACTGTGCAGCAAACCCTTGAATTGAGGCGCCTGGATGCCAATGCCGCCCTCCTCGCGTTTCAGCAGCACGTGCCTGCCGACAGCGGTCCGATCACCGACCTCGCAGCACTGCCTCCTGCCAAGTTTGCCGGCATTTACTCGACCTTGATGACGCTTCGGCTCTTGGCTGAAGTTCCTGCCTCTGCCGCCCGGTGAATGCCCGCCCTCCCCCAACCACCATCTCACCTGTCGTTTCGGCTCACGTTAACAAATGATACTGTACCATAGGCAAACTGGTTGACAATCTGAATACACCTACAACACAACAACTCCTCATGATCATGATAGTCTTGTTCATCCTATTTCCATTCAGTCGGGGGGGTTTTTTTTTTGTGCGTTCTTGTTTGCATTTCGAGTCGGAGTTGGCAGTCGATTCTTGATGGCGGGAAAGGGGAGCAAAGCGCAACACCATCACCATCAGCAGCAGCAGCAGCAACAGCAGCAATCCGCAGCGCAGCCCGCTGAGCCTGCTTCGTCCACTGTCTGCCCGCTCTTGCAGTCGACCGAGTCATTGCATGTCGCATACACCAAGCAAGTGGCTGCACTTGTCCCCAGCAGTGCAAAGGCCCATCCTCATGCTGATGCGTCGCTCCAGTTGACAAGCAGCCTCGTAACTAGACTCTGACCTCGATGCTCTTTTCCTACGAGTTTTTTTGTGACTCAGTTGATCTGTTTATGTGTGTGTGTGTGTGTGTCGATGCAAACAGGCGCGACTGGTCGCTGAGCCGAGCCTGGCCGAGGGACTCCAGCCGCGCGAGCGATTGCTGGCGTTCGCTTGGCTCCAGCTGTGGTCGTCAGCACAGCAGCAGCAGCAGCGCCAGTCCGACCAACAGACAACTGCTGCTGCTGCTGCTGCTGCTGCTGCTGCTGCTGCTGCTGCTACTGCGACCAACAAGACACCGGCGGCGACGACGGGAATGGCTGCGTACCAGTCGCCGCTCAACCCAGTGCCAGCGAGCTCCGACGACAGCAGCAACAACCAGGCGCTGGCCGCGTTCGGACTGCTTCCAGTCGACCTGCTCAAGATCCATCTGGCACACGCGTACTTTTCGGACGACGCACTCGCAACGCCGTTGGTCAAGGTCGCATGCGCGCTCATGCCCGAGTTGCTCGAGCCTCCGCTCGCTCAGCGCGCCCACGACGCAGCAGGTGCAGCTCGCGCCGTTCCGCCGTTGTCGGACGTTGAGACTCGGTTGCTGATTCTGCTGCTTGTGGACCAGGAGGCCGCGACCAAACACTCTGCCGAGCACATTCTGGCGCATGCTCCCACTCTCTTGAGCGATTCTGCGCTGGCCGCACTGCTCACGGAGGATGCTCTGGATGAGTTGCGAGAGCGCGATTTGGCTGCTCAAGCAGCCGCGTTGTGGCACATTGCTCCGTTGGTTCGGGCACAGGTTGCGGCTACCGTTGCAACCCGTGGGTCGGTTCTGCCACCAACCGCAATGGTCCCAGACGTTGTCCTTCCCCCCAGCCCCGCTGTGCTCAAAACAAAAGGCAGCGGCAAGCATCCAGCCAACTCGGCGACCGCTCTTGCATCCGGCGCTACTGAGCAACCTCCGAGTGCCGCACAGAGCCTGTCCGAGACTCTTCTGCTGCGTGCAAAGTCGGGCAGTTTCGCCACGACCGCCCTGGCTCCGGCGTTTCTGCGTCCAGTTCCGCCCCTGCTCGCCTGCGATGACGACGAGCTTGTATGGTTGCATCCAGAAGATCAAGCGCACGAAGTGGAGTGGGACGAGCGCATGTGTGTGGACAATGCGAGCGTGGCCAAGCTTCGTGTTTTGATGAGTAAGGCGTCCACCGGCCCTTTGACGCTCCAGCAGCAGCAACAGGTCCTGTCCGAGCTGAGGACGCACCCAAAGTGTGTTTACCTTCTCGGCCTGACACCTTCAAAGCTACCTGATCTCGTGCAACACAACCCGGATATTGCCCTTGAAGTGCTGCTGAAGCTCATGTCTTCAAGTCAGGCCACAGACTACTTTTCTACCCTCGTGAACACAAAGATTACGCTTCACTCGATGGAGGTGGTCAATCGGCTCATCACCACTGTGGATCTTCCTGCTGCGTACATTCACTTGTACATTTCCAATTGTATGCATCAGTGCGAGAACTTTCCCGACAAGAACTCCCAGCAGCATCACGTTCGACTTGTGAGTAGATGGTCACATTGGCGTCGTGTTTGTGTTTGATCAATGCGATGCGAGAGTGTCTAATCTTTTGACTTGCGCTTTGGACATGAATTTTTGGTGGTGTAGGTTTGCGTGTTTCTAGACTCGCTCATCCGAAACAAGATTGTGGATGTGGCGGATATCTTTGTGCCCGTGCAAGCCTTCTGCATCGAGTTTAGCAAGGTTCGCGAAGCGGCTGGGTTATTTCGTTTGCTCATGTTGATGGACCCGAAGCAGCAGCACAAGCCAAACCAGAGCGATTCGTAGTCATGATGCTTTTCAACAACCCACAGTCAAATAATACCTCACTTGTACTTTTTTTTGAATGCTCCATGAGGTTCAAATCCACTTGAAAAAGTTGCAACTCGCTTCGGGATTGTTTGTATGTCCCTTCGGTCGACCGCAGACGTAGAACTTGCGCCCAATGTTTTGAGCCGAACCGTTCTTGACGGTGCGCTCGACGCATGGCTCGCCATGGCCAGTGCAGCGAGGTGGTGGGGCTGGGCCACGCAGCATTTGCTTCCAAGCCGTTTTGGCGGCCGACTGTGTTGCGGCGGTAATAGCCGCGAGTTCGCTAGGCGTGAGGTCCGCCCCACAGTCACTCAGAGCAGCAGGCAAAGGAGAAGAGGATGAGCTGCGACTCGAAGCGTTTGATGGAGTGCTGACTAGGGAATTTTCAGGTTTGACGGAAGGAGGAGGAGGAGACGCTTTGAACGCAACTGGCGCCGCTGAGGTGGATTTGGCAGATCCAAAGAAGGCAGACAGCGACTTTTGCTTGGGTCCAGTGGGTGCAACAACGGACGGTGGCGTTGATGACGAGCGCGCTCGCTTTGGAGGAGGAGGAGGAGGAGGAAGAGGGACTTGAGGGGATGCAGGTCTCGTTGATTGGGATGCGAATGCCGACACGGACTGAAGGTGCTGCGGCGGTTGAGGCGGGACAACGTCGGAAGGCTCCTCATCAGCGTCTGGGTGGGACCGCTTGGCGCGGTAGAACGACGTGAGCTGCACAGTCTTGCCGCCCATTCCGGGCAAGTAGCGAGCGCATAACTTTGGTGGATTGCGCTGCGGAATTGTAAGCCGTAGTGTTGGTGCAGCTGTAATGACCACAGGACAGTGATCGGATCCAGGAAAGCGTGTCAGGTGGTAGCACCCGGAAATGTCTGGCAAAAGCGCTTGGTCGGTCACAATGTAGTCAATCCGTGTGCCATAGTTTGTTTCTCTAGCGCGCGTATCCACTCGCCAGCACGTATAACGCGACGACAGCAACGGGTGGAAATGGCGAAAGCAGTCAACGCGACCTTCAGCAAGAAAGGACTCCATCCAACGTCGAGAAGGATGGGCTTCAAAGTCGACAGATCCATCATCGGTGGTCTGCAAGTGACAGCGAGCACGAGTGTCAGGAACGCGGGGAGGGAGGCAGAGGAGATTGGAGTCAGAGACTTTTTTTTGTGCCACTTTCTAAAACTCTAAAAACTAAGGGAGATGAAAGCACTTACATAGTTCTCGGGATCGCAATGATCAATGCGTCTGTGAGTCAAATTAAAATCGCCAGCAACAATCACGCACCTGATGGAGAAAAGCCAATGAGCCATCCCAGGTCCCTTTCTACACATCAAAACAAAAACCGCCAGAGATTTGCCCCTTACCGACCAGCAGTGCGGAGTGCGTTTACGCGCAACTGCAACACGCGATAAAACTCTTGCTTGAAAGTCATGCGCTCGCCTTCCGCCGAGTCGGCGCGAGGACAGTAGAGATTGAACAGCACAAAACGGTCGTGGTCAGTCACCACGCATCGGCCTTCCGAGTCCAAAGCATCCAGGACTGTTGGATCCATATCAGAGTAATCGGGCAATAGCCCGTCCGGTTTGATCACATCGCCAGTTTGCAATGGGACGGACGTGACGGAGGCCGAACTAGGTTCGGGGGGTTTGACCACGCGACGGCCAGTCAATCCATCTTGCGCCGCAATGGGAGTTGCAATTCCTTTCTTGCAGTAAGTAACGACGCCTGTGAGCAGCCCCTCCCCCCCCACCAACAGAAAGCGCCAAAAAGAACACCAGTCAGCCCAGTTGACGAAGGAGAACTGCATCATCCACCAGGACGCACCTGAGTAACCATCCTTGGCAATCGAGAACGAGAAGAATGCATCATAGCCGTCAACGAGTGCCATCTCTTCCGTGACTTGGGCGGCAGTGAGCTTGGTCTCTTGAAAGCACACAATGTCGGCCTGAAGCGCGTCAAGCAGCTGAAACAACAAGGACGATCGCTGCGAGCGCACAGGGCCAAAACCAGATGCCTGTGCTCCATCGAGCGAGCGCCCGAGTCCCAGCAAGCCAGGAGGCGAGGACGAGGCTGAGGCGGCCGGCAGAGTCGGAGTCGGTTGTTTCAAACTTGACTCGCTGCTGGGAGGCTGCGCCGGCCATCTGGCTGTTGTCTCGGACAGCGAGTCGCCCCCAATGGACTCGGGCACCCCGCTGGCATCAGTGGCATCAGTGGCATCAGCGGCGTCAGCGGCGTCGGCGCCGAGGCTCTGAGACTCGCCTTCACGCAAGTTCGTGCGCGGCACAACGAGTGAATGCTGGTCGGTCGGCGCGTCCGCCAACGCCGCTTCCGCCAACGCCGCGCCGTTCAAGGACTGGACGGCCTCGCTGCCGTTGGCTGCAACTGCAAGCGATGAAGCCGGTCGTCCAAGGCCGGTCTGTTTCGGATCTGGCGCATCCAATCCCGACGCACCCAGCCCCGCTCCAGCAGCAGCAGCAGCAGCAGCACGCCGTTCTCGCAGAAAGCTGGTCAGCGCCGTGCGACCTGTGACTGCACGCAGGCCATTGATGTTGAATGTCGCAATGAGCGGGCGCGGCTGCCCATCGGCCATGGTCTCGATCGCTGGCGGGCGTTTCGTTTTGTCTGTTTCTTTGCCAAAGAGGACTGAGCACCCTTTTTCGTTTTGGTTCAGAGTGAGTGAGCACCGGTGGGTACCAAAAGCCTGTCCAATGCCATCATCCCTGTCACCACCATCGCAGCAGCGGATTGTCAGACAAAGAGTCTCCAAGTTAAACAAGTCCTGGCTTTGCTCGGTTTCGTCCTCACCAGCACCACCAGTTGAAGTGACACCAACTTGATGAACAGTAGTATGCGACACGAGAGCAACAAAACACCCACAACCAACGCTTTGGTTTCATTCATTCCTCTATTGTCGTTCTATTGAATTCAATTGTAAAAGCAACAAGAGGTTTTTTTTTTTTTTTTTTTTTTTTTTGTTTTTTTTTTTTGTTCTTTCTCGGTTGTTTGCACCAAAACGCCCCCTCGCCTTTTTCCTCTTCCCCGCTGCGCCTTCGTCTCTCACCGCCCCCGCAGCGCCTCACAACCTTGGCTTCTCAAGATAAAGGCCTACACTTCCTCATCCTCTCCTTTCCCCGTGCGGCGTCAGGCTTGACCGTATTGCGCGTGCAAAGCTGTCATTCCGTCTTGCTTTTTTTTTTTTTTTTTTTTTTTTGGCCCTTTGGTGTGACACACGCTTCTGTGCATGACGGTCGAACTGCTCCGAGCACTGCAATTGAAAAGCTAACAAGAGCAATGGCGGGGCTTTCGAGAGCGGCGGTCGCGAGGGGCGGCAAAACGGGGACTTCAGCGAAGCGGTTTCCATCACACGAGTGTACGAGTCAGCCTGCTGCTCAAAGCCGACCTGACCCGACCGACTCTGGTGGCGGTGTCTCGCTCGTCCTGCAACCGTTTGAGCCATTTGAGCCGTGTGCATTTTGCTGCGTCGCTCGTCCAACCCTGCCCATCAGCAGTGCTCTTCGCTCTGGCGCTAAAACGAAGTTGAAAAAAAAAAAAAAAACTAACAAAAAAAAAAAAAAAAAAAGAAGACCGAAGAGCTCTTCTGTTGCGCTTGACTGGACTGCTCCCCGATTCCCCCCCCACGAGGCCCCTGACCAGACCAAGGGATGGGAACACATAGCGGATACAGCCAGACAAGCAGTGACGGGCGAGGGAGGGGGAAGCAGAAAGGAGCAGATTGCCATTCACGCCTATTTTTTTTTTTTTTTTTTTTGGTTTTTGTTGTCACTATTCTGCGCTTGTTCTCCGTCCGTCTGCGCCCCCACACCCTCTCCTCCTCTCCTCCTCTCCTCCATCGAAAGCACCACTTTTGCCCATTTCCCCGTCCATGTCACCAACGTCGCCCACACCCCCCCGGCCCAACACCACCACTTCTCATCCCCCTTCCAGCAAACCGCGACCTTTCCTTTGAATTTTTTTTTTTTTCGCTCTCCAACTCATTGTTTGGAAACTGCTTTGGTGGTTTCGTTCGATCTTTGACTTTTGACCCCTTGTCTCTGCCACACAGTCATCACATCAAGCAACAAGAACAAAACAACCAACCCCCCCCCCCAACCTGGCTACTGCTCCAAAATTGCACCCCCCACAGAATGTCAGGTCAACATCCGATCGTGACTGCAACACGCTCCATCGACGACCTGGCCAGCGACCTGTTTGCCTCAGTGGTGGACGAGGAGATGTTGACGGCCGCAATGCCGGACGGCGTGAGGCCAGACAGTGACTTTTTCCTCGGCGTGACCGAGTTTGACTTGCCAGAGCTGGAGGGCGACCCAACCGTGGATGCGCTGTTGCAGCCAGGACCACCAACGCACCGTGCTGCAATGCGCTCCTTGTCAGACCTGGTTGTCAAAATGACGCTGAAACCAGCCGATCTCGTGTTGGGAACAGCTTCATCGCAGCCTGCTCCGGGGTTTACGCAAGACATTTCCGCGTTCCCGCACGAGCTACGGCAGCCGCATCAGTTGCTTTCGGGCGCACCTCTGCTCCACATGCAACGGGAGAACGATGGTGGTGCTGGCATTCCTCAAACACCCGCGTCCGCCACGTCGTCAGTCTCGTTCTCCAGCGAGTTTGCCGCGCACATGTCGCTGTCGGCCGGGGGTACCCCGAGCACAGACGGCAGCAGTCCTGCCGCTGGCGGCGGCGTCACAAAGACCCCATTGCACCGTGTCTCGCGCACCTTTGACAGCGCGCGGCGCCCGTCGTCGTCGTCAAGAGGCAGCTCCTTCGATCAAGGCCTGGAGGATTATTCCGTCCATTCCAATAATCACGTCGGAGTTGTCGTCTCGGCAGCTTCTCCCGTGAACTCGTCGACAGAACCTTCCCCCGGCCCTGCTGGCGACATGAGTGCCCCGCGCGAGCACGCACGAGCAAAACGCGAGCGAAGCTTGGCATCGCAGTTGCTGGATGGGCGCGACGTTATCCGACGCGATTTTGACGAGTACACGCCCACGACGTCCGCGGCGACGACCGCCAGTCGAGCACCACACTCGACCAATATTGTCGACGGTTTGCTAATCACATCGTCGCTTGATCTCATGCTGCAACCCAAGCGCAAGGTCCGCCGCAGCAGAAGCCACAGCGATCCCCAGCTTTTCAACGACCGGCACGACAATGGCATGGACGATTTCGATGTCAACGATGTCATTCCGACTGCGACAACCATGAATCTGGCTGCGGACGGCAGCGCGCTCTCACAATTGCTCAACGGTGTTGAACTTCCCCACCAGTTGCAACAGCGTCGCATGCACGAGCTGACTGCTGTTCTCCCGGGTGCCTCCACCCTACGACGAGACGATCTGGCTGTATGGGCGTCATCAGCAAGCAAAGCTGATCAGTATCCCGTGTTTTCGCCACAGCAGCCATCCTTCCACCAAGCGCCCTCCGCCCAACAACATCAACATCAGCAGCAACATCCACAGCATCAGCAGCAACATCAGCAGCAACATCAGCAGCAACATCAGCAGCAACATCAGCAACAGCAACAGCAACATCAACAGCAGCAACAACAGCAGCAATTCCAATTACAGCCTCAAGTGCAGGCGCAGCAACACCTCCATCACCAGCAGGCGTTCCAGGACCACTCCTCTCACCATCAACACACTTCGACTCATTCCGACAGTCAATACCGCCCTGTGGTGGCCTACAATGCCGATGGTGGCATTACGATTGCGCTTCCGCCAAAATCTGCAGACTCGAAGCAGACCCACAGTTCAAACTCCCACTCGCCTGCTCAGTATGCTTCAAATGGAATGTTAAATCTCGACGTCGGGCCAGGGTCAATGGAAGATGACCAAAGCTCAGGTCGACAAGCAAGCAGACTGCATCCCAGCCTTGCTGGTCGTCCACCGCTGATTCGTCGTCGCAGCAACTCGATGCCAAACATTTCCATCACTATTATTTGTGAGTTTTTTTTGTTTTGCACTTTGCGAATATGGAGTTGGTGGCAATTGGTTTGGTGGCGATCGTACCTTGTTGATGTTCACCTCACGAATTGCTTTTATCCACTTTGGCCTGTCGTTGTTGCTTGTTCTTTTTGTTTTTCGGTTCCTTTGTATGCACAGCTCCCAACGATCCCGCGGCTGCCGCTTCCCAAATGGAACAAATGCAAATGCTGCTTCAAGATCCTCGGAAACTCATTTCTAAAAATGGTGACTTGGTCAACGTCAATCTCGGCTCCATCACCGGGAGCGTGTCTTCCAGCCCAGCTTCGCCCTCGGGAGCTTCATCTCCGTTGTCCTCGCTTGTATCATTGATTCAACAGCAGCAACAACAACATCAGCAGCAGCAACAGCAACCACAACAACAGCCACAACCAGTGCACTTGTTCTCGCAGTCACCCCAGCTTGCGTCTCCGTCCGCACAGACTGTCACCAATCAGGCTGCCCAAATTCAACAGCTTCTTCTTCAGATGCAGACACAGCAACAACAGCAGCAGCAGCAGCAGCAGCTCAGTCCGGTGGATTTGCAGACGCAGCAATTGCAAATGCTCCAACAGCAACAAGCCGCGCTTATTTCGCAGCTCCAAAGCCTGCAAGCGTCAACTTCACCGAGCCTTTCTCCGCGGTCTTCGTTCTCAAACCTGCCGCAGTTGAACATTCCCTCGCCAGCAAACTCCCTCCCTTCCCTTCCGTTACTGGGCCCGCAAACCACGTCCCTCAATTCATACAACCCATTGCTGAGTTTGCTGCTTCAGCAACAACAGCAACAACAGCATCAGCAGCAACAGCAATTGGCCCAGCAACTTGCCCAACAACAGCTTGCGCAGCAGCAATTCGCTCAACACCAGCTCGCTGCCGCCCTTTCTCCGGGTGCGGGCGACCTCCAATTTTCAATGATGAATGGTTTTGGAAATGGAGGCGTGAGGTCACGGCAGGGGTCCATTTCAGACCCAATGTCGCCAATGGCGCAAGCGCAATTTTCACCGCAAGTTTATCCTCCCTCCTTGCACCAGCCTCCAGGAATGACGCAACCACCCAGCATGCACCAGCCTCCCATTCAGCAGCAGTTTCACCATGCACCAGCAGTGTCGGCGCATCCGCCCCCTCCTGCCCGACAAGGTTCGGACGGTGCGGGCAGTCGGAACTGGGAGTTTCGTGCATTCGCACCTCGCACGGAACACAAGGCTGCGCCCACTCCGTCGAATAACAATTGGCACTTCCGAGCCGAAACTGGCAATAAAAAGCCCCGGACATGAACGCAACCTTGCTTGCCGTTTGTTGGTCGTTTGTCGGAACCTAGTTCTTACCGCATTATCCTCTTTGAAAATAAAGTTACATGAACCAATGCAGTATTTAGACCGGGCAATATGCCACGCTTGACTCACGTTGTGTAACTACGCTCGCGAGACGGAGAGGTGCGACTGGCAAGATTACGTCCAATAAGCCTCTAGATTAAGAAACATTTTGGGCGTCATGCCAAATTGGCAAACAAATCGACATGCAGACAATAAAAAAAAAAAGAAAAAAAAGAAAAAACAAAAAGCAAAGGACAGCTTTCGAGCTTTGCCGCGTCCCAGAAATGCCTTGCTGCAAGTGTGCCATGGAAGAGAGAGAAAGAGAGCGCTCTGTTCGATGGAGCGACAAATAATACAATTTGCTTGTGTGAGTATATTACCGCAAACAGCAAAAAAAAAAAAAAAAAAAAAAAAACCAATCAAACAGCTCGGTTGCGTACAAAACGCATCGTCACAAACAGATCGCCGGGCGGCGATGGAACCTGCAGCCTGTTGGAGGTGTCGAAAGTAATATCCATTACAGCCGGTTCAATGTACCACACCAACGGTATGAGAGAGGTCCGCCAAGAATGCATTTTCACGCTCGTCCAAATGCCTTGCTTTCTTGGGGGCGTGAGGCGACCGTTTTTTTTTTTTAACCTCTGTTCGTTTTCTTTCTTCGTCTTTTCGTTCGATCTTCGACTGGCAGTCAAAAATCATCTTTGAGATGAGCACTTGTTTGATTGTAGATGTAATGTTCTGTGTTTGATAGACCATTCTCCAGAACAAGTCATACAGCAAACAACCGCTGCCCTTGGCAGGAATTGGCGCGCTATTTTGTGATGTATTTTACTTGTTCAAAAAAAACCGATCCCTAAAACGTCGTGGGCCATTTATTTTGCTGAATCTGTACGAGTAATTTTTTCCCTCTTTTTTTTTTTTTTTTTTCCTCCCTTTTTTTTTTTTGTTCCTTTTTGCCTGTTTGTCGATTTTATTGCGGCTCCCTGCCTTCGTCCACACAGCCCGCCTCAGACTTTCGGCAGAAGCAAGGGGGAAACGGATGGAGCTCCCCTACACCACTTGTGGGCGGAGGGTGGAGCGTCGTTGTAGATCCCAGAAGAGCAACTCTGATGCACAAAGCGCACCTCATGCAATGCTCTTCTGCTTTTTTTTTTTTTTTTTTTTTGCTGAATTTGCTGGATTTCCATTGAACGGTCTGGCTCGATATTCTTTTCGCCCTCCCGCCCATCTCCTTTGTTTCGGCTGTGGCGTGGTTCAGTTTGCGTCAGCTGCCTTGCCGTTGTGATCATCTGTAGAAAACTATGTTTGGAGACTGTTTCCGGAGACGGAGGCTTCCCCATCTGTCCTGGCTTGAAAGAACTCATGGGAGCACGCAGCAAGGGGAGCAAACGAGAATTGCATTTTCCGTCTTTTTTCCTTCGTTTTTTTTTTTTTTTTTTTTTTTGCTTCTTTTTTCATTTTTCACTATTAACAACTTTAACTTTCTGGGTCCCCGTTTCGTTTGCGGACTCTTCTTGTTTGCTGCTTGTCCGGCTTCATACTCACTTGTTTGCTGATGGTGTGTCTGTTTGCTCTAACTCTGCTCCCTCTGGTTGATCGGAAATGTAGTTTCTCTTTTTTTTTTTTTCCGTTTATTTCTTCTTGCCCTTCCTCTTTTTTTTTTCTTCTTCTTTTCTTTCTTGAACTATCCTTGTGCTTTGGATCAACAGCCATGACACGAGCTGCAGCCCGATCTGCTGCGCTGAGCGTAGTCTTTTTCGTGTTGCTTTCCTTGCTACATGGATCTGCGTTTGCCGATCCCCCGCCTCCCCAAGTCTCGTTTTTTGTCGAGTTTGACAATGTTGCCTCTTCGACGGTTACGATCGCTTCCACGTACGCGTCAGCAACACCATCATCGACTCTTCCTCCAGTCGTTTCATCCTTCTTTTTGGAGGTGTCCCCGTTCGTTTCTTCTGCTACCCCATCGTCAGCGACCCCGACAGCAGCGCCTTCATCGACGCTGCCGCCTGTGACCTCGTCGTTCTTCATCGAGGTTTCTCCATCTTCTTCGTCGGCCACTCCGTCGATTACCCCTTCGTCGGCCACTGCTGAAGTTTCGTCGGCCACTCCTGAAGTTTCGTCGGCCACTCCTGAGGTTTCATCGGCCACTCCTGAGGTTTCATCGGCCACTCCTGGACCTTCGTCGACGCTCCCTGCTCCAATCTCGTCGTTCTTCATTGCAGTGTCGCCATTCTCTTCGTCGGCTACTCCGTCGATTACCCCTTCGTCGGCTACTCCTGAGGTTTCGTCTGCCACTCCTGAAGTTTCGTCGGCTACTCCTGAGGTTTCGTCTGCCACTGCTGAAGTTTCGTCTGCCACTCCTGAAGTTTCGTCGGCCACTCCTGAGGTTTCATCGGCCACTCCTGAGGTTTCATCGGCCACTCCTGGACCTTCGTCGACGCTCCCTGCTCCAGTCTCGTCGTTCTTCATTACAGTGTCGCCATTCTCTTCGTCGGCCACTCCGTCGGTCACCCCTTCGTCGGCCACGCCTGATGCTTCGTCGGCCACGCCTGATGCTTCGTCGGCCACTCCTGATGCTTCGTCGGCCACTCCATCGGTCACCCCTTCATCGGCCACCCCTGGACCTTCGTCGACGCTCCCTGCTCCGATCGCGTCGTTCTTCATTGCAGTGTCGCCATTCTCTTCGTCGGCTACTCCGTCGATTACCCCTTCGTCGGCGACGCCTGATGCTTCGTCGGCCACCGCATCTTCCGCTACTCCGTCGATTACTCCCATCGATCTTTGCGGCAAAAACGTGGTCGATTACTTGGCTGGTACGCCTGACGCATTCTCGCCCCTGGGCGGGTTTGTCCAGCCAGCTTCTGACGCCTTCTATCCGGTCGATGATTCAGTTCATTTCTTCACGCAATACGCGCCCACCCCGACCGACCCGATTACTCTGTCTTACACTTTCACCAGTGACTCTGCAGGTAACAATGCGTGGCGGATGAGAGGAAAATTAGTTGACTGGGGTAGTTTGACATGTCTTACTCATCAAATGCTCTTGTTTTTGGCTATGTTGCTTCTCCTTTCGCAGTGGTCAACATGTACACGATCCAAGCCATGATCGACAACTATGGATGCACTGGAACCCTCTCAGAGTGCGCCCAACAGTCACCCGGTGCCTGGACGTTCGAAGGCTGGAATGGTGCAGCCTGGGTTGTTCTTGACTCGCAAGCTGGGCAAACCGCTTGGACCGCAGGCCAGACCCGCACCTTCGTTCTGTGCCAGCCCGTTGCCTACAATGGCTACCGTCTGCACATTACTGCCAATGCCGGTTATATTACTTGCGATGATTATCCGACGTGCTTCTCTCCGGACCCGGTGCGCAGCGGTGTTTCTTTGCAACAACTGACCCTCTATCAAGAGTGTCCCACCAACTCGTTTGGCTGCTCATCGAGCTCAAGCGCCACCCCTGTTGCCAGCTCTGCCACCCCTTCATCGACGCGATCGGTCGTTTCGTCTATTTCCTCCACTCCCTCCAGCAACACCCCGATCTCGAGCAACACTCCCTCCAGCAACACGCCCGTCTCGAGCAACACGCCCATCTCGAGCAACACTGTCGTCGTGTCGACTACTCCCAGCTCCGTTTCGGAGACCTCCACTCGTATCGTGATCAGCACCACTCCTTCTGTCACCCCTGGCTCTGTGACCCCTGGCTCTGTCACACCTTCGTCGGCCACCCCTGGCTCTGTCACACCTTCGTCGGCCACTCCTGGTTCTGTCACCCCCGGCTCTGTCACGCCTTCGTCGGCCACTCCTGGTTCTGTCACCCCCGGCTCTGTCACGCCTGGCTCGGTTACCCCCAGCTCGGCCACCCCTGGTTCTGTCACCCCTGTCTCGGTCACCCCTAGCTCAGCCACTCCTGGCTCTGTCTCCGTCACCCCTGGCTCCGTCACCCCTGGCTCCGTCACCCCTAGCTCGGCCACTCCGGCATCCGTTACTCCTTCGTCGGCGACGCCCTCTGTTACCCCTTCGTCTGCAACGCCTTCCGTCACTGGAGCCATCACTTGCGGTGCCAACGTCGTTGACATTTACCCTGGCGTTGCTTCAGTCGAGACGTACGACGAGCCTTATGCTGATCCAGAGCTCATCTTCTTCAACGACGAGGAGAGTGTGCACTTCTGGACGTACTATGCGCCTACTATCGAGAACCCCGTGTACCTGGGATACGCTTTTGACAGTGGAGTTGCCACAGGTGAGCCTTTTGTTTTTTGCTGTTCTGCTTCTACGTTTGCTGACGTCCGGCACAATCCTTTTTTGCGTTGCCTGACTGTCTGACTAACATTGACCCTCTTCTGCTTGTTTTCACCGCAGCCGTGAACCAGTACACTATTCAAGCGATGCTCGAGAACACCGAGTGCTCTGGCACCTATGCAGAGTGCGCTCAACAGAGCCCTGGCACTTGGACTTTTGAAGGTTTCGATGGCTCCGCATGGCACGTGCTCGACTCTCGTGCCAACGAAATCAACTGGGGAATTGGTGAAACTCGCACGTACTCTTTCTGCCAGCCCAACGAGTATTACAGCTACCGCTTCAACATTACCTCCAACGCCGGCTATGTTGTTTGCTTCGATCCTCCTACTTGCGATATTACGTCTCCTTTGACGTCCGGTGTCTCTGTTCAGCACATCGAGCTCGTGCAACAGTGCCCCACGAGCGACACTTTCTGCGAGAGCTCCGCGTCTTCATTCCCATCGCCCACTTCCTCGATCGGCACTGCCACTTTCTCGACCGGCACCCCGACTTTCTCGACCGGTACTGCCACCTTCTCGACCGGCACAGCCACGACCGGCACCCCCACTTTCTCGACTGGCACTCCGAGCGTTGTTGGCTCCGAAACTGCTTCATCGTCGCGCCCCACCGTGTCGTCCGAGCGCCCTACCGTGTCGTCAACCCGAGTCAGCGTTTCCTCCGAGCGCCCCACCGTCTCGTCCGAGCGTCCCTCTGTGTCGTCAACCCGAATTAGTGTCTCCTCAGAGCGCCCCACAGTTTCGTCCAGCCGCGTCACTGTTTCGTCCGAGCGCCCGACGGTTTCGTCCACTCGCATCTCTGTTGCCTCGTCCTACCCTACTCCGACTGTTCCGTCGAGTTTGTTGCCGTCTGTCACCCCATCTGCGTCTTCCCCGACCCCGACAGTCTCTTCGACGCTGCCTCCTCCGATTTCGAGCTTCTTTATCGAGATCAACCCACACTCGTCGGCTACTCCATCGGCTTCCGGTTCGCCCTCTCCGACGGTCTCGTCGACGCTGCCTCCTCCGATTTCGAGCTTCTTCATCGAGATCAACCCGCACTCGTCGGCTACGCCATCGGCCACTGGTTCGCCCTCTCCGACCGTCTCGTCGACGCTGCCTCCTCCGATTTCGAGCTTCTTCATCGAGATCAACCCGCACTCGTCGGCTACGCCATCGGCCACTGGTTCGCCCTCTCCTACCGTCTCGTCGACGCTGCCTCCTCCGATTTCGAGCTTCTTCATCGAGATCAACCCGCACTCGTCGGTTACTCCGTCCGCCTCTGCGACCACCGCGACTGCTTCCGTGTCTGGCACTGCCGGCATCCGTCCTCTGGTTGCTTGGATTCCTATTCCTACCCAACCGCTCGTGCTTGGCGTTGCCTGGTCCTTTGACGTGCCCGCCGACGCCTTCAGCAGCCCGGATGCCACCGAGCCTCTCGTGTACGTTGCCACCCTGTCACCGTTGGCCGCGTTGCCAGACTATCTGTCCTTCGATACCGCTGGTCAGTTCGTGGGTCTCCCGCAAGAGTCTCTCGTCGCTCCTGGGCTTGTCACTCTGCGCTTGACGGCCTTTGACCAGTTTGGCCAGACCGCCAGCACCACCTTCCAGCTCGACATTACTCAATCGACCTTCGCGCCGAGCTTTGTGCTCCGAATGGGCATGGACTTCCCCTTCCCAGCTTTCGGGGCCTCCAATTTCTTCCACCTCTTCGACGACCTTGCGGCGGCTACCGCCCCGCGCAACACCACGAGCTTCTGGCTGCGCAACGCCTTCTCGGGCTCCACTGTCGTCGATTTCACGACCTTCAACAACGACCCCAGTGAAGGCTACAACCTGTACTCGACGCTTCTTGCCGGCGGTCTCGAGGGTCTTTCTGACATTGTTGGCTACGATGTCATGTACATGTACTTCCTCGACGGACCGACCACCGTCTCTCTTCCCGTCACGCCTTCTCCCTCAACGTCCGTTGAGACACCAACCACCGAGGTCGCCACGTCCACCGCAGTCACCGAGACCACCGGCACTCCGACCACTCAAGTGCCGACACCCACGACAGGTACTCCGACCACTGAGGTGCCCACCCCGACGACTGGCACACCAACAACCGCCGTGCCATCTGAGACTACTGGCGCTCCTAGCACTGTTGTGCCCGGCTCGACCACCGCCGCCGTCAGCTCTGCCACCGCCGTCCCCACGTCTGGCGTTGCGCCTACCTCCACTGGTGCCGTCGTCTCGCCTTCGAGCGACAGCGTCGACCTTGTGGCCATCCTTGTTCCGCTCTTCATTCTGCTCTTCCTGTTGATCGTTCTCATCTACCTGGCTTGGCGCCGCAAGCGTCAGATGGAGTACCGTCCTATGGCCACGGACGCCCAAATCCAGGCTGCAGCCCTCGCGAGCCTTGAGGCTGGCTACCGCCCAGCTGGTGGCAAGCAAGAGCCCGAGATGCAACAAGTTGAGGAGGCCGAGTCGACTGGCTCCAGTGCCGGCTCCGGCGACACCTTGTTCAAGAAGGCCCGCACTCTGCCAAACTACCAGTACCCGCCCGCCTTCAGCGGAGCTCGCGTCGCCCCGCCGGTTGTCCCAGCACCATCTACTCAGCGCGAAGCCCCAGTCGAGCCTGCAGTTGATGTCGCAGCTGCCGCTGGTGCCGCTGGTGCCGCCGCGGGCCGCACGCGCACCCTGCCACCGTATGCCGAGCCCCCAGCGTTTGTTGCTGGCGCTGGACGCACTCGTGCCCTGCCGGCTTATCAGGAGCCTCCGCCGTTCACTGACGATGCCAGCGCAAGAGGCGCTGCCCGTCCATCGCGCACGCTGCCTGCTTATGCCCCTCCTCCGGCGTACGATGACCAAATGCGTCAATCTAGCGATTTTGCATAAACCCTTGCATGCTCGGTTTCTAAGCACATTATTCCTTCGCTTCAAACCACCAAGGACAACGAAAACAACAGGCTTGTGTCGTTTGAAATACTAGCGACTCCCTTTTCGTTTGCATGCTTCCTTCCACATGCGTTCCCGTGTTTGCTTTGTTTATTTGTTGCTGTTTGTTCTAGGTTTTTGTCTTGCTCTTTGGGTGTGTTTTCTTTTTCTTTCTCCCTTTTCTTTTCCAAGTTACGTTATCTGTCAGCCTTTTCTTGTGTGTGTGTGTTGCTGTTGTTGTCGTTGATCAGAACGTGACAACGCCATTGATATTTGCATGTGTTTGTGTTGGTCAGGATGGTGTTGCGCTTTTTGTATCAGCATTGAATAGCACGCAGCTTTTCGTCAATTGCCACACTCGCGCTTCCGATCCAACAAGTTTCCTCCCAATGAATGAGTGAAATACTGTGTCAAAGTCGGGTCTCTCTCACTTGTTCACCTAAAACGAAGGAATCTCAAAGAAAAGGCGCAGTCAGTCATCATTCACTTTTGAACGTGAGCGACAAACAGGGGGCAGGCCACTACTCATGCGCCAAAGCCAAGGCCGTCGGGCCGCCGCTTTCTCGTTCCTCTCTGGAATCAACTTGCAGGGACCCACCACCAAATCTGCCGAGCAGCCAGCAGACCCACGGGAGCCAGGCAAGGGGGGCAACAACTTTGCTGCCACCACGACCGGGTCGTCCTTGGCTGCCAGCTCAGCTCATGGGCCTCTGGGAGGCGCTGCCGACCCTGGTGCATTGTTGTTTGGAGTGCGGGCAACGGACGCGAGCCAAAAAGGGCCGGCAGCTCGTACTACGCCGCTGGCTTCGGATTTGTTTGGCGCCGGGACCACCACCAGCAGCAGCAGCGGCAGCAGCACTGGGACGACGATGGTGCTGGCGCCGCGCGGCTCTACCAACGGAGTGCCAGACACTGTTTACGACCCAGATCTGACAGTTTTGCCACCGCTCGACCTGCCTGGGCTGACCAAGAAGCAGTTCGGATTGAGCGATTCAGCGGCCACCCTCAAAATCCAACCTGTCGCTGCCGGGGCGGCCCAGCAACGCGTCGCAATGAACTTCCCGTCCGAGCAGCATGTGCCATCCGTCCAACATACTCCAGTCAGTAGCGGGGTGCAACCGCCTGCGCTGGACGCAATCACAAGCTCCAGCCCGGGCAGCAGCAGCTCGTTCGAGGCTACATCGCCTGGACGCCCAGAGGACTTGACGGACCAGGCGCATCTGAGAGGAGCGTTTCAGTCGGCGCCGATATCCATCCCCGGCGCGGCAGGCGCGGCGCAGGGCTCAGCAGGGACGCTGGGGAGAGGAGGGCGGTCGACTGGCCGCGACTCTGGTTCACCTCACGCAGGCGATAGTCTGCCAAGCGACGAATTCCACGATGATGGCGTCTCGCGTCCAATGGGCGGATACTCACTGTCGCCGCCAGCAAAGGCCTCCCCGTTCCTCGCGGGCCATTCGCCAAACAAACGGCGTCCGTCGGGCTTGCAGCTTGCCGTCAACGGTCTCGACGGCGGCAATAACGCCTTCAGTCCGAACAGTCACATCAGTCCTTTGGGACTCCAGTCTGGCAATCAGACTCCTCAAAGTGCTGGTCCTCGGCCCAAACCAGGCAAACCGCATCTTGCACAAAGCGCTCATCACACCCACCTTTCGCACCATCTTCACGGAGTGACGCATCAGTCGCTTCATTCTCGTCACTCTCATGCACACACACACGGTCACCATGCTCATGCACACGGCCAGCACCACGGCCAGCACCACGGCCATCACCCAAGCGCCGCTGCCTCTCATCACGGACCTGCGCATGCCGGTCGACTTGCTTCCGCCCAACGCCAGCTCTCGCGGGTTCAAGTGCTCCCGAGTGCAAGCTTCCTGGCGACCAGCGCCACCAATGGGCGCTCTGTTACCAACGCGCGCGTTGTTGTTCGGCCCCGCCAGAGCGCCCCGATAGCAATGTTTTCCGTCCTGCGATACGATAGTGAGCGCGAGAAGAGTCGGAGCAAGCGGACTCTTGCCACCAACGACATTCGTCCTTTGTCTGACAGCGACGATGTCGTTTCAATGTCAAGCACCGAGGGCGTCGTTGCCTCAAGCAATACTTCATCGGGGACAAGCAGCAATATTGGTGGTGCCGGCGGCGTCAGTGGCGCAGCCGGGCATCTCTCGGCAGGGTCGTCGGGCCCGATTGTCCCCATGTCGCACCGCAGTCGATTATCGTTACCGGCCTCCTCGGGCGAGTCCACTCTGCGGCCTGCCAATGCAGCGTCGCTGACCTCCCCTTCGAGCACACTTGCCTCGGCCATTGCTGCGGGCGCTGCGGCACACCCCTCCGCGCTCCACATTGAATCTCGAATCAACCTCAGCGACTCGAAGGACATGCTCAACCCATCATTCTCCACACTGTCATTGGCAGGCTTGCTGTCGCCGCCGGTCGGCCGAAACTCTCTTGATGCGCAGGGGGCATCCGCGCCCACCCACCGCCAAATCTTGCAGCAACACGCGCTTGATGAGCCGGCCCAGGTCGGTGACCAGCACCACGCTACTCAAGGTGCTCAGCAATCCGAGCAACACCTTCCAACAGCAAGCGCAGCGGCAAAGAATGAAGACATTTCGTACTTGGCGCTTCTCAGTCCTTCCGTCTTTGTTGACGCGTCGTCGCACTCTGTTCTCGATGTCGAGCCATACAACCCACGCGCCCTTGACGATCCTGATTTACGCATGGGCAAACACAAAACGGTGCTCACACTGCCGGCATTCATGGTCACAATCATCCCTTATGTCAATCGCTACAATCTCAAAAAAGATCTGAACGAGCAGTTCCGAGAGCGCCATCCCGACATTGACTTGACATTCTCCAAAATGCGTAGTCTCAAGCGTCAGATGCTCGAAATTGGCGTGACGGAATGCGGGCTCGAAGTATCCACTGTAGCCAAGGCTTACGTTTTCTTTGAGCGACTGCTGTTGAAGGTACGTCGTGTCGATGGTTGCGCCAAGGTTTTGGCTTGGAGGAAGAAACAGGGAGAAACAAAGGCTGACTTTTTTTTTCCCGGTTGTTTGTCTTGTTTTGGGTTGGGTTTGGTTTCTGCTCATGTGTCTGCTTGTGCGTCCCTCAACCTTCAACCCTCAGAACAAAATTAGCAAAACGAATCGCAAAGCTGTGGCTTCCGTGTGCTTGCTGCTCGCCGCCAAGTTCCATGACTGCAATTCGAATGCAGCACACCCACTCTTGATTGCGTTTGACAAACTGCTGGGACTTTCGCATGATGACGTGCTCTCCTTTGAGTTTCCAGTCTATGCCGCGCTAGAGTTCAGCTTGTATACGCGTATCGAAGACGTGGAACCACACCTGAGTTATCTTATCCAAGAGCTGGACTACACCGAGCCCCTTTACAACATTTCTGCGGATCGACCTGTCAGTACGACTCCTCCCGATTACTCGACTCTACTTGACTGAAAAAAAAAAGAGACATTACGCATAGTTGTCGGGTGCGTGTTTGTGTGTATTTGCAATAAAATTACAATGAAAGCATCGTCGTCCATGCCAATCGAGATGGAAGCTCGCGCCAACACACCAGATAAAATGACAATCTCATTGCGACAACTGCTATCGGGTTCGAGGCTTGAAGTCTTGGGTGAGATCGAGGTTTTGCAGGTGGGTATTTGTGAATTTCGTGATTTTGCGAGCAGTTTGCTTCTTTGCTTTGTTTTGCTCCTAGGTATCGGTAGCCATAGGGAGGAAGACGAGGGCAGAAATGAAAAGAGAACAACCCCCCACCATGGTGAGCAACTGCGCGTCTGCAGCAAGCATCACAAACGAACAGAACAAAAAAAAATCATGCAAGTTCGCAAACAATACCTCAACACTATTGGGCAAAGCCACTTTCAGGGGCTGTAGTTGGGCAGCTCGAAGTTCCGCGTCCACGCTAAGCGGAAGTTGGATTTTCGACCATAAATCCTTGAACTCTATCCAAAAAAAAAAAAAAAAAAAAAAAAAAAAAAAAACGGAGAAACCATTATCAACACAGGTGCTCAACCACGAACTTGCCAGCCATCGATCGAGGCGCATACCTTCATCAACATCAACCCGCAGTCGAGGGTCGTTGTAGAATAGAATCATTTCGGTCCCTTTGGTTGGCTTCAGGACATAAATGCGGTTGTCAGCTTGAAGTTGCTACATTCGTCAAGGCATGGGTGTGTGGGGGGGGGAGTGCACATGGATGCAGGCGCGTGTGTAAGCAGGCTGCTACTCAGCACACCCTACCGCCAAAAAAAAGAAGAAAAAACAAAAAAAAAAACCCCCAGTTCAACCACGGAAACACAAGTACCATCACGTCGTCAGCGGCTTCGCGATAGCACTGCAGCAACTCGGACTGCTTTATCCCGCCTAGACCTTGCATGTAGTAGCTGCGCAACAGCTCAAGCAGCTCGTCTTTGCTACCGACGGCGTATTTAGGCTAGTCGGAACAGAAGGAGTTGGGCGATGAGATGAGTAACACACGCAACGACACAACGATCGACATGGCACAGGAAAGGCTCACCTTGTATCGAAACTTGCCATCAACGTGATTGATGAGAATGTTGCCCTCGAGTCGGTGTCGCATGTCGTCCAGCTCTGCAGGACTGAGCACACGCTCGCTGACGCGTGCAAGCAGTTCGTCCAACGAAAACTCTGTTGCCGCATTATCGTCCTGAACGAGACACACGGAATAAACAACAAGTGAGCGCGCTTCCAAGTACCAACCATACAGTCATTGGGAGGCAATTCTACGCACTCTGGCCAAATGGCGGTCTCGGAGATGGGTCACGATTCGCTCACACAGCCGGACCAGATTGGATGAAACTGTGCAACCAAAAGACACAGACATGGGGGGGACGTCAGCAACCACACAACGCAAACGAACTCGAGTTGTTCGTGTTCGTACGACCAAGTTTGATGACTATTGCGACCCAAGCACTACAAGAGCTCCTCCACCCATCCACCATGCCATCGTGTGTGAACTCACCCTCTGCCGCGCGCTGCTGCTGAGCTTGGCGGATGAACTGCCCTCCGCGTGGCTCCGAGTTGTTTGTCAGGCTGCTGAGCAGGCTGGGCAGCCCACCCGGTCGCTGCCCCTGCTGCCCCTGCTGCTGCTGCTGCTGCTGGTCGGCCTGCTGAGCTGCTGATGACGACGACGACGACGCAGCCGACGAGCCCTGCAGCATGGATGCCAGCGACCCGATGGGCGTGATGGTCGTCCCTGCCATCACTGGCACCGGTCGCGTTGGGAGCATTGCAGACGACGCGACGGCCGACCGACGAAACTGCTCGCGTTGCCGCGCAAGCGACTCAGCAGCCTGCGATCGCGCGTCCATCCTCTTTGTTGTATTCGGTTCAAAAGGGGGAAAAAAAAACAATGGGAGGTTGGGGGGGGGGGAAGGGAGAGACGAGGCTCAGTGAGAATGAATCAAATGGAATAAAAAGGACTGCAATACGAAACAAACAGCTCCATAGGCACTGCAACAAGGCAGGCATTAGTGCATTGCTGTCACTTTGTTTGATTTCACTATTCATCCTCTGTATGGCTGTCTCAGATCTCAAAGCCGGCAGTCCTCCCCTTGTTTTTGAGCCTTCGCAGTCGATTCGCACCACCTCGCCTCGTTCGCTTTCCATCGCGCTCATGGCACCACAGCCACCGACGACTGGTGGTGCCGGTCTTTCGTCTTCGTCTCCTGCTGGCTCTGCTGCAATGCTGTCTCCAATCGAGGCTGCTGCGGCTCTGCTACCGCAGCGTATCGTCCTCCACGCGAGCGGTTCCAATGCCGGCTCGCCTGCCGCGACGCTGCTGCAAGCGTGGCTTCCCGCTGGTACCACACAATGTACGGAAACGACCTACAGCAATAATGTGTGTGTTTGTGCATGGACTTTGGAGTGCGTTTGGGGAAAATGACCTCGCTCGCGACCACCGAACCTCCTCACGTCCTCACATGGACGGCATTGACGACCAAACATCCAGGATGAACATGAGTTAGGATGGACAAACAATCTTACTTGCATCATGCTTTGGTTTTTCAATTCTGTTTGTTGTCTTGGGCTAGATTCGTTGCTCGAGCCGTTGACCCCGACGCCACTCTCGCTGCACAACCCTCCTTCCCTCGGCAAGAACATTGCCGCAATGGCTGCGACGAACAATCTGATTGCTTTGCTTGCTCGAGGAGCAGCATCCAATGCATCGTCATTGTCAGCAACTTCTTCTCCGACAAGAATTGGAGCAAAATCGCTCGCGCTGTTGGCCGGCACACCCGGAATCAGTAGTGCTGGTAGTGCTGTTGCTGGACTCCGCTCGCCTCCAGCAGCGCAACAGCAGCTTGCTTCGTCGTCGTCGTCGTCGTCGACGCCAGTCACATCGCCTGCACCCTCGCCCCAACGGGCCGGAGCATCGCTATTCTGCACAGTGTGCCGCAAAAAGTTTGGCTCGGAGGCAACTTACTCCACTCACATGTCCTCCAAGCACCCAACTGGAGGCCCAGCTGCTGCCTCATTGGCATCCGCTGCTTCGCCCAAGGGAGGCAGAGTCCTGCAGATGCCCTCACCGCCGTCGCCGTCGCCGGCAGGACCAACCACTCCGACAAAAGAAGCTCTGCGCTCGGCATCCTCGTCAGCCGCGTCACCCGGCTCGCCAGCACCGACGATACTCTCTCGTACAGCGCAGTCTCCCGCCACAGCGCCATCAGACGAGCCCGCGTTGGGAGAAGCACTCCTCGATCAGCGGAAAGGCCTCTCGCGGCTGAGCGCTGGCGACTTGGAGACCGCCGTTCGTCTGCTTCACTCTTCCAGCTTGGTATTTGCGCAACGCGGTTGGATTAGCGATGCGGCGACCTGCATTGGGGCTTTGTTGTCGTTACCTGTTACAACCTCGTTGCCGGATTCGCGTTTCGCGTACTTGGTGCAGCTAGCACGTGCCTTTGCTCCTTGTGATTTCCAGCTTGCGAGCTGTCTCTACCGCGGCGCATTGCAACAGCTTGTTCCTGACGTGTTGATAGAGCGCTTATTGGTAACCAAGGTGCTTGCATGGTTGCATGCTGGACCAAAAACTTACCCATTCTGATGGTGTTTTTTTTTTGTTGTTGTTGTTTTTTTTTTTTGTTTTGTTTTTTTGTTTTGTTTTTTGATTGTCGCTGGCGCCACATTTTGTCCGCTTTAGGCGATCACTGCACAGAATACCTCATTAGATCAAGTTCTCGAAGTGGCGGCAAGCGGTTACCAAGCCATCGTCCCATCTGCCTTGACTGGACTGGACGTGAACGCTGCCTTGGCCGAGATTGGCTCCTTTTTAAGCCTCTGCGAAGTTCATCCCGTTTCTGTGGCTATAATGCACATGCAGTTAGCCGCAAGCAAGCTCGAACGCCGCTGGACTAAAGTTCACTCGACAGCAGCCGCCCTCGGCCAGATTTACAAACTGAACGGAGGCGCCGCAGGAGGTGCCCGCTCATCAGTCAGCCCGGTGGTCGACTGGCCCGTGAGAAGTCTTCAGCTCCAGCTGGTAGCTTTTGAAGCGTCATTGGATCAGCAGTGCCTTGCCAGTGCTGGCTTGTCGCTGCTGAACGCGCTGCTGCAGGCTGTTACGCTCCACGACTCGGTTGCGGCGCACGATATTGTTACTTCTCGATCTGAAGCATGGTTTGCGCGGCGTCCGAGTGCTCTCGTCAACCCAGACCAGCGCCTGGTCGACCAGCTGAGCGAGTGTCTGTCGTTCTTGCATTTCCTCATGGAACAGGCCGTCACCTCGTTCGGCTCGCTTGACTGCCTCACATCCAGTTCCGTGCGGGACGAGGCGTCCGTGTTGACCACACGACTGGAGTGTGCCATCGATCATGCCGTGGGCCTGAGCAACGAGCCGTATGCTGAACAATTTCGCGTGACCGTTCGACGCAACCAAGCCACTCCGACGGACATTCTGATCGTGCTAAGCAATGCTATAGCTGGCGGGGCCATGTGAGCACCCCCATCACTCATGCGTTATGACATTCGTTAACATTAAGCTCTTGTTCTTGCGATGATCTGTCGTCTTGCTCACTGTCATCGTCATCGCTGTCCACCACCATCATCATCATCATCATCATTGTCATCATCATCATCATCATTGTCATCATCATTCTCGTCCAAATCAAACAGTACTCCAAGGATTCAGTTTTTTTTTATTCTTGGCGCCAATTTCAATTGCCGCTTTCGTCGTCCATTCCCTCAGTTCTCAGTCCGCACCCCCCTTCCCTTTCCCTGCGCGTCCATCTGTCCGAACACCGAGTGCGTATGTCTGATCTAATTGTGCTTTCCCCCCCCCCCATCATTTGCCATGCAACGCCAACGTGACACGCGGTTCATGAGCGTTGAGAGAGGTCGAACGGACGGACGCTGAGATGTCTTGGCATTGCTGACCATCTCTCTGTCTCTCTCTCTGTCTCTCTCTCTGCTGTTGGACACACAGGACCAGATCGGCCTTAGTTGTTTTGCTTTGTAGGAAGTGGAAAACAAAACAAATCCCTAACCGAGCGTCGACAAGCATAAACGGCGGTTGAAACAAACACACACACACATGGAAGGAGCTGCAGCATCATCTTCGCCAAGACCGCCGCAGTCGCCGCTAGCCGTGCCGTACCATGCTCGATCAGGGCTCGGACTGCTCCTGCCCAGCGCACGGGAGCAGCAAGACACCAGGCAGGGCAGGGTGACTGCGACCGGCAGCAGCAGCACCGCGACCAACGCCACCAGTGCGCACTTGGCCGCCACCACTCCCGGAAGCAGACCGCCTCCGCCCGCATGGGCTCACATGCTGGGTGGTGGACTTGGAGGCACGCTTGGCACGGTTGCCACGAGTCCGCTCGAAATTATCAAGACGCGCATGCAGTCGTCGCAGCACCGCTCCGACCCACGCGCCCCTCGGACGATTCGCACTGCGCTGCTGCAGCTATATCGCGTCGAGGGACCTCGAGCACTGTTCCGTGGTCTTGTTCCGAATCTCGTGGGCGTCGCACCGAGCCGATCCATCTACTTTTTCTCCTACTCCAAGGGCAAGGAATGGGTCTCAGCGCTGGTGGACGACAAGAGCAGTCTCGTTGTGCCCGCTGGCGGCGCTATTCTCGCCGGTGTTTCAGCCTCCACTATTACCAATCCCATTTGGCTCGTTAAGACGCGACTGCAGCTCGAATCTGAATCGATGCGTCGAGTCGCTGCCGCAAGCACCACCACCACCACGTCTCTCACTGGCGGTGCACCCCTGGCTACCGCACAGCCTGCACAGGGACTGATTGCGGGTACCATTCGTTGTGTGCGCGATGTGTACCGGCGCGAAGGCATTGTTGGGTTTTACCGCGGCATGAGTGCGTCGTATGCCGGCACTTTGGAGACCATCATCCAGTTTGTCATTTACGAGCGCCTTAAAGAGTTTGCGGCTAAAGTTCGCGCCGACTCTGCGGATGTTCTAATGACCACGCCACAACTTTCAACGACGACAGATTCTGGCTGGGAGTCTGACGACAGCGCGTTTGGCCAACGAGAATCAACTCAGTCACTTCCCAAGCACCGACTGAGCGCCCAGCCTTCGGCAGCCGTGCCATCGAATGCCGAAACGAGCAAGTCCCTGCGAGATTTTGTCGAGTACACAACCATTGCTGGTGTTGCCAAGCTCGTGGCGTCTATTTCAACCTATCCTCATGGTGAGTCGTCTTGTTGGGGGGGGGGTTGTCTTCATTTTATTTTGTTGTGAGGTTGTTTGTGTGATCGATCGGTCGACTCATGCGGGTTGTTCTCGTTCTCAATTATTATTATTATTTTTTTTTCTGCTTGCAGAGGTCATTCGGACACGATTGCGCGAGAAACCTGTTGGGAATGTTGCCAAGTACCGCGGCTTTTTCCACTGTCTGGGCAAGATTGCAATCGACGAGGGTTGGCGTGCTCTCTACAGCGGCATGCCTGCCCACTTGGCGCGTGTCGTACCCAACACGGCCATTATGTTTTTAACCTATGAAATCGTTGTTCATTTGGCTCAATGACGTTGTTGTTGTTGCTTTCTTTTCTTTGCTCGCTTGCAAGCTAAGTAATATATTTGTAATTTTTCGCCAATGCGGCAACAATGATTGAATCAAGAAATTGGTAGACTGGACGTTACAGGGACAAAGATTTTGGCAACCGCTACCTCCGAGTCGATTGCCGCGATGTCTGCGCTCGGCGCTCTTTTGCCGACATCTCACACTCGCGCGACCATGCGCTGAGCTGACGCTGGTCATCGATGACAATCAGGCCGGCAAGATAATCTTTGACTGGATTCGGCACTACAATGGGTGAGCCATCAAGCTCAATTGGAGTGCCCACAGTGGTGCGGCGCCGACGCACCGCAGGAAGCAAGCTGTCGATAGCGCACAGGGCACATGTGATTCAAGCATGAGCCAAAAGAAAAGAAAAGCGACTGAAGGTCAAGAAAACCCGATACTGGGTTGGCAAAACGTACGTTGTGCTGTCGTAAGGCGTCGAGCGGAAAGGATCGAGCGAGCGAATCGCACGGCTGATCATGCGCAAGAGATCAAAATTAATGCGGCCCTCGATCACGCTGTCGTTGCCCTCGCGCATGAACGTCAAATCCTTCATGAGTAGGGCTAATCAGAGCAGGCATGCAGGACAGTCCGAATGGCACAACCGCAGGTAAGCTTGTGAAAACTATTTGAACAACCCGAGAAAAACAAAAAAATCTGAAATGCCAGAGAACGCTTACGGAAGAAAGGAATGGCAGGAGGCGCGGTCTGCTGAATCAACGTGCGGTACGCCTTCATGTTGCGAGATGGATCCATGAGCATTTGCATTTCCTCAAGCTCGGCCACAAGGCGGGCCGGTACTTTCTGCGATCAGGGCAAGAAAGTTCGGGTCGGTCAGTACACACCAAAAGCTACACCGAACAAAAAAAAAACGGAAAAGCTCCAAACGCACCTCCCAGGTTTCGTGTAGCCGTGTCACCGCCACATTGTCCAAACCGCTCAGTATCGCAAATGCCGCATTAAAGTTGTTGCAAGACAACAAGTCCTGTGTGTGTTTGGAATTCAAAGAGCACCCAAGGTGTACGCAAATGAGCAACTTATCGAAACCGTGGCATCCTCGAAAACAAAAGGAGGCATTCGTGGCTCATACCTTGGCGATGGTAATAAACTTTTTAATCACGTTGACTCGCCGAATGGTGTTCTTGGACGAGCACACCTCGGTAACAACCCAATAGTTGAGCTGCAGCCATGAGTCAATCAATCATCATCAAAAGGTGACTTGGTCAGTGCACAGGCACCCAAGCAAAACGAACAAGAAAACACCTGAATTTAGCAAAAGCTTACTTCGTTAAAGCGCTGCATGAACATGAGCAAATTGGAAATGTCCTTGCCCTGGTGTCGCCACAGCAGAGTAATGTACTCGATACTCTCGGTGCTTGAGAACAAGTGATAATCCTGCAGCGTGATGTGACGTGCGATGTCTCGTTCGTCCATCTCAAGAAGCATGTTTTCACGAGCCGAGTCATGCAGGCCTGCCGGCAGTGGCGCGGGTTTGAGGTCTTCCTCATCGATCGACTCTTGCGCAACCACGGCCTTGGACAAGGTCTTTTTGGACCGTGTGACGTTCACACCAGAGCCTGAATCGCCAAGTCGGGGTTGAATCACCCTCTTTTTGATGTACAGACGGCCATTCAGCGAAAGCTGGCTCGCGAGGGACACGTCCCCGTCCGGAATGTCGCGTTGATCTGAACAAGCGAATGAAAAGATGAGCCACCAGCATTGCATTTGGCAAAAAGTGGCAAAAGTCAAGCAAGAGACCAAGACAGAAAAGAAATGTGCAGAGAATGGGGGGGGGGAGAGAGAGAGAGAGAGAGAGAGAGAATTCAGTACCTCCGCTCAGTTTCACTTCAACAAGTTTGTAGGTTGAAGGGGCGTCAGTGATATTGAACTTGGTGATGACGTTTGCAACCAGCTCTTGAGCACTGGTGGTCTTCTGGATGGCCACCGTCTTGTAAGACTCGTCGCTGCGATAGACACGCACGACATCTGCTCACGCGTCCATCCAACGCATCCAGAACCACACAAAACAAACAAACAAAAACGAAAAACAAGAACTAGAACATGAGAATTTTCCGCAAAACACGAAATCTGCAGACGAAACGTTCGGGTGGGAAACGCACCCATGTCGGGACCACCTCGAACAACCGAGGCCACTGAAGCCTTGCGCTCGTAGAGCAATGGGTTGTTGCTCTTTCGCTCGCGCCGCTGGGAGGCTTTGAGCGTGCCGCGGAACAACTTGTCCGAGTTGACCGAGCTGTGCATCGGAGGAATAAACAACTTGGGCATGCTGTCAGGCGTGACGCTCAAGCTGCGTGTGCGGGTTTTCAAGCTACTGCGCGGAATCTCGGGCGATGCGGCAGCACTAGCACTCCCGGTGTACAGGGCAGTGGTGGAATGCGACGTGTGCCCAAGCGAGTGTGTTGCATTCGACGGTCTTGCCGATGCAGCCCTGTAAGCGAGCGAGAAGCAGAGTGAGGGGGAAAACGAAGGTAGAGTGAGTCAAAGAGAAGGAATGGACACGGAATTATTTTGGACGGCGCTTCAGAAACGCACGCAATTGTATCCAACTCGCTCCGAAGCAGATCGTGCTCGGATGCGAGCTTGTCCCTCTGCAGAGACTCGACAAACCGATCCAACGCAGTGGAGAGCGCTCGATCTGACTCAAAGTCGTTAAAGTAGTAGCGAACCCAGGCAAAAATGACTCCGACAATTTTGGAACGAATGGTTGCCACCAGAATCGGCGAAATGAGTTGGTTGGCTGGAGCGGGAGTTTGGAAGCGTGCGCTCAGCGCAGTCCAGAGCTCCATTGGCGTCATGAACGTCCGGAACATGAGCAGGAAATCTTCCAAAAAGTGAACATCGCATTCATCTTCTTGGCTAACCAGGTAGCTCACTAGCTGATCTCGCATTGCGCTCATCACTACAAATCTGTAAAGGTGTTCCAAAAGCACCAACGACGACAACAAGCGGGAAAAGTAAGCAAAGAACAAAACCACACTCTGTTCGAGCGGACAACATGATGGTTTGTGAACGTGCCCTTCTCGGTGCTCTCCAGGTCGTCGCTCCATCACCATAACAATCGCATTGCTGGAATCGCGCACTATTCTCGTGTTCGAAGCAGCCTCCTGGAGAACAAAGTGAAGGCTGTTAGTACTTTCATCTCCTGCATACAAAATCGGGGAAAAGTGTGCTATTGTTGGACACACCTTGAAAACAGTCTCAAAGTCTGCATGATGAACCATCAAAAGCTGGCACTCGTCCTCCTTTGTTATGATTGTCACCGGCCTAGGCACAGATGGCGATGAAAGGTCAAAACAAAATTCGAACAGCGTCAGGATCCGATGGATGTCGCAAACTCACCATGGGCCAGGGTACTTGACAAGATTCTCGCCAAAGGATTCTCCAGGGCCCAACGAGCACACCGTGGTGCGATTGACAACGACTTCAACTGAGCCCTGCGCGAGAATGTACCAGGTGGCGCCCTGGGAGCCTTGTCGCACAACTATTTTGGTTCAACACGACGAAACGTCAGAGGGGGGAGGGGAAAAAACCAGGGGGGCACCAAACAACTCGAGAAGCAAGAGCACAAAAAATGTCGCAAAAGATCACGTACCAATGTCACCGGCGTGTGGAACCACCTGAAAGCGAGTGATGGCCGCCAGACTACGCTTTTCTGCTGGCGTCAGGTCTGACAAGGCCTTGAGTTGGTTGAGCTCTTGCAGAATGTCAAGTAGATCGTCTTCCGTGCGCTCAGAGACCCTGTGCAAAAAAGACCCGATTGGCATCCGCACCAGAAATAAGCATTTGTCGTCAGAGCAAGCATTTTCGTCAGAGAATGGTGCGCTAATGGCTGTGCAGCTCAATCGAACTCACGGCTTCATGAATCGCTCTTGCAAAGTCGGGTCAACACGAGGTGAAGGGAGAATTGAACGGCCCTCCGGCAGCGGATCGCTCATGTCGCCGTGTGAATTGTCCACCGTAATCGCAATGGAAGGAGGTCTGCTCCTGGCAGAAACTGTTCCGACGGGGAGGATGGGTTTCTTCGGTTCCTGAATGATGTAGACCAAAATGTGAGCCGCCTCCACGATTGTGATTCACAGTCAGCGACCGCGTATGTTCTTTGGGCTTACAGATTCGGCGGCAACGATTGGGGTTGTAGGATTCGATCCTGACGGACTCAACCCACCAGGTAGGCCTTGGAACTTGCCGGACGACGACGTGCGAATCAGCTTGGACACTGAGTCGTTGGAGCGCCTGCCAAATCCAGCCTGTGGCCGCATCGGGGACCGCGGTGACCTGTCCTCGTTGGACATGGCGTTCATCTGCATTTCCAACCAGGCAAAGCAAGGTCAGATCGTTGTTATTGTTGTCATTCACGGCAGCAAAACGAAAACACACCTCGTCCAGGAGATGCATCTCCATCATGCCCTTGAACTCGGCACGACCAATTTTGACGAGATCGCAAGCAGTGATGGTGCGGATCGTCGAGCTGGCCGGCTCGTCCGTCATGATTGCCGTGTCACCGAAGCCCTGGCCCTCGAAGAGGCGAGCCACCTCTAATGGGTGGGAGGTGTCGTCGTCCTCGTCGTAGACGGTGACTGAGACGGCACCGCGCAAAATTCCGTACCAGAACGCAACATCGTCCGCTTGGCTAAACACCACAGTGCCCGGCGGAAGGGACTCGACAGTGACTGTCGCCGCAATAGTGTGCAGCCGGGCGCTTCGCAGCTTGGCCAAAGCGTGCAGTTTTCGCAGAGCAGTGAAGATGATGTCGTCGGCGTCTTCCGAGCGCTCCGCCGGTCTGTCCGGAAGCAATGAAGGAGGAGGTTGAAAAATCAGCCAAACGAAACACCAACAAGGGCGGAGGGGGGGATGTTCGGACTGTTATTGGGGTTGATGTCGAACTATTGGACTTTGTCCTTTCTCCTTTAGGTTGCGACGCGGTTTCGCTCAAATCACCACCAGCACCACCACCAGCGCCACAATAGCAGCAGGCGCTCTTGTGAAGCAGCCCCTGTGAGATGATGGGTAGAGCTGGCTGGAAGAGGGCGGGCCATTATTTTTTTTTTCGCACCGAGCAACCGTCCCGCCCCCTTTTGCCCCGGTTGCGGTGTGGAAGGGCTCCCAGCACCCTGGGGGAGGCGGGGGGGGGGTGCCCTCCACCCCATGCTGTCTTCTGGTGTCTGCTCTAGCAAGCGACGGTATCCGTGACGAGGTCGCAAGCGATGGAGCAAGGACACAAGCCGAAGTCTCAGGGTACACACATGCACAATGTGGAGCTTTCTACCGCCATGCGATGCACGTGTGGACGCCGCGTTGGTCGCTTGCCATCCAAAAGTCCCCACTGAGCAGGTCGCGCTGTCATTCTTCCGGGGGCGGGATACGTTCGTCACTCGGTCGTGTCATAAAAAGCGGGCTTTCAAGCCAGCTGGTCGCGATTCAACTCAAACTCACACTCACTCACGCACACACACACACTCTCTCTCTCTCTCTCTCTCTCTCTTCGCCACTGCTACTCGGTCCGCGCTTCCGTGCACCAGCCAACAGGACAAGTGTGAGATGATGGAAGGGGCGCTGGGTCGCAAACTGGACAATGGGCAACGCGGCGTACGGGAGGGACAGGGCATTCAGGATGTCTGCGAATGGGTGCGCGCCAGCGCCGCCAAGCACCGAGCCGGCGTTGGGAGCGAGCTGGGCCGAGCTTGCGATCGGAGGGACAATGGGTCTCATTGTGCGTCGGTCGTTTGATGTTGAGATGACAGCAAATCTCGAGCAGGAGGAAGAAAGGAAAAAAAAAAAAAAAGAAAACAAAAAAAAAAAACAAGGAATGATGAATGCACAGCTTCAATCGTTGCATCGAGCGACGATCGTTTGAAGCAACGAGCAGCAAAAAGCGATGGAGATAAGGACTTGTCGTCGAGTGTTGAAGCAGGTGTTTTTTTTTGCGTTGGTTGGTGTGCCGGGAGCGAGAGAGCGGGGGGAGAGGCCGCCGCTGAACGGTACAGAGTTGAGCGGTACATCTCCAATTTTGGGTTTTGGTGGTGACCATATCTGGGTCTGGAGGGTAAAACAATCTGCGTTGGTTGGTTGGTGGGAGGCAGTGTGCCGATGGATTGCGGGACTCTGAGCATCGCGGAATATACCCTTCAAGTTTTGTTGCCTGTTGCATTGACGAAAATGGAAGACAAAGGCAAAAGGAACGGAAAACAAACGAACGGTTCGGTTTGGAATCCCAAATTCGACATTCCGCGCGTTCCAACAATGCGTGCGTCAGCCCAGAATTCGAAACACCGACCATGAAAACATTTTGAAAAGCACGACAACCAAACACGGAATGAGTCATATGGCAGTGCTCGAGACGAGCGGGCATCAGCATTTAGCATTGGAGACAGAAAACTTGGATGCGCGCGCAAGCCAAAAACAAGCGAATTGAACTGACAAGTAACAAGAGATTTGCATTTAAAAAGTTTCTAACAGAAAAGATACAGTCACAAAGCTCGGAAAAGAGAGAGCGAGGGAGAAAGAAAACCAAACAACAACAAGCAAAAATGTCGCTCTATCAAACACGAAGCAGAATAACCGAGAAAGTACCGCCGCCGAAGTTCGCGGTAGAGCACACGCAGTGTCAAAAGGAACATCAAGTCAATCAAGAAAAAGAATACAAACACACACACAAGAGCAATAAGAACGGAAAACAAACAAAAAAATCCTCGTCATGAAACCGACCAGGGAAAACGACCCCGCAACGCCCGACTAGAACTTAATAAAAGCATGTATGTGGCAGCTTGCAGCATACAATTTTTAAAAAAAAATACGCAAGGCGTAGGATTGGCTCTTTCATACAGGCCGCCCGAAAAGTGTCATGGTGATTGACTCTTTGCAGTCTTGCAGCCGGACCTTCTTGTTAACCATATAGTTGGCTCCAAACCGCGTTACGAGGATTTGGTGGAAGTGCCGCGGGGCGTACAACGAGTGAGGGCCGAAAGGAACTTTGACTGGCGGAAAGAAATCCTCCACCAAAAAGTCGCCTCCGTGGACAAAGCGCATCTTTTTCTGGTCTTCCAGCTCAAAATAGTGGAAGCTGTCAATGTGTGGACTGAGCGTGTCTACACCTAGAGACCGATCATATACGCGCAGCACGTAGCACCCGTCGTTGTATTGCATCTGTGAGATGAGCCACGGGTGGCTCTGGAAGAGATCGTACGCCCGCTTGAGGTCCTTGTGCAAAATGTTGATATCGACGTCCGAGTCGTGTGGCAGCATGCCCTGGTTTCGTGCGGCGCCCAGTAGTGTCCCTTGGTCGAGAAAGTATGGAATATCGTGTTCTTCATACAACCGCGCCACCTCTCCGACTGTTGGAGTTGTGTTTTGTGACAGCAAGTCAGGGAGGATGACGAAACGCAAGTGAGTGATGGACATCCAAGCATCGAGGAGGACAAGCAGCTGATGGTGTAAAGTAGCAGCATTTTGGAGCAAAGCACGCTGACGACGCTCAAAGGGACGACTACGCGCAGAGACACACACATTCATGACGACTGGATTGTGCATCGAGGCACGCGTCCCACAATTCATCCCCACCCCACCCCCTCCTGCTCCTTGAGCCCCACAGCCACAGCCACGAGCAAGTCAAAAGGAACACGAGCGAGCGAGCGAGCATTAAAAAAAAAAAAAAGTAGGTGGCGAAAGCAACACCTCTGCGCGCTCTGGGAACGCGTCGAGCTCACACGGCGACCTCCTTGTATAGAATGAAAAGGAGGGTTGAAGCATCGGCGCACACCGAGACCGAGCCGGGCGCCGTGACAGAGAACACAGCAAGCGTCAGAAAGAAGGAAAAAAAAAAAAAAAAAAAAGCAAAAAAAAAAAAAAAAAAAAGCCACGGCGCAAAAAAAAAAACAAAAAGGACCGCCTTGGCTCGCTCTGCTGCTGCGGCTGATGTGGAGCGATGCGGAGGGTTGCTGTGCAAAGAAACAAAGAGACAGCAAAGCTATGGCGCGAGTGCGTGCGGCGGTGGAGGCGGGGAAAGAGGCGACCGCAAGGCATCAGGCGTTTTTTTTCTTTCTGTTTTTTAACAGCAAGCCGAACACACATTTCCCCAAACCCCCACGCCTCCCACGGCATCCGAGTACGCACAGGGCTCAAGCAGCGGTGGCAACAAGAACAGCGCTAGTTGCCCACGAAACCGTCAATCCAAAAAGACAAACCACGTTCACACCAACGCAAGAAACGAAAAAGCAGGAAGAAGAAGGTTGTTCCAAAAAACAAAACCGACCAATTTTGTAGACCGAGTCTTGATAGAACTTTGGCGTTGTGCAGTCATTGACCATCATCCAGTAGATGGCGAGGATCCAGTTGTAAAAGTAGCAGCAGAGGACAAGAAGCACTGCGAGCGTCGTCACGACGCGCGATCGCGTCAGCAACCGAGCCATGAGCGTGAGAGTTGTTTGTTAGGGTTGTGGCGGGTCAGGGAGAAGTAAGTATGGCTGGGAAAAAAAAAAGTGAGAGGAAATTATGAAGAAAAAAAAACTGAGACTGCGACTGAGGCTGGGAGTGAGACTGAGAGTGAGACTGGTGAGGGTAATTACAAGGACAGGGATTTGATTAGATTGGAAGTGGAGAAGTTAGCGGAGGCGGCGCATCTTTAGTCATTTTGAAGAAACCGTCGTTCTTGGTCATGAAAAAGCTGGGCATCCACCCTTTGTCATGGACGGGTATGTTCACTGATGATCCCAATATTCCGAAAAGGTAAAAAGCGTGATAGCAAGTGGTTGGTGCAAAGAGGGAGGTCAGTAGCCTGACTGAGTGGACGAGGTACCAAAAAAACCAAAACGACGCTCTTTCTTTTGTTGTTGTTTTTTGTTTGGTTGATGTGTTAGGGACCTCTCATGCAGATCTCGAACCTGGAGTTGAAGCGTTGAAGTCAATCTGCAACAAAACAAAATGGGGTTTGTGTGTTTGCGCCGTAGCATCATTTCCTTTGGTGACTCGCTCTGGCTGTAGGCTCCTGTTGTTTCCTTGTGAGTAGATTTGGTTGTTTTTTTTTTTTTCGGTGTGCTATTCTTGCTCCTCGCGCGTGCGTTTACGAGCTGACCCAAGAGAGCTGGTGTCAGCGTACCCTCGTTGCCGCTATTTCGCCTCACCCCATCCTCGCCCTCCCTCCTCCTCCTCCTCCTTTTCCCTATTTTCGTCGTCTGGCTTTGTCATTATTTTGTGAGCTGCCTTGCCTCCTTTTTTTGGGTGTCGTTTGGTGCGTTCGTGGCCACACACTCGGCTTCAACAACGCGACGATTCAAAAACACAACGATGGCCACAAACGATCGGTTTCATCCGTAATGTTGACGTCAGAGCGGATTTGCCTTTAAAAGGGCGGCCTGTTTCGCATTTTTGATTCTTCACTCCTCTTTTATTGTTGCTTCAGTCTGCGTTGACATTGTCAGCAAAGCCCTGCCTTACAAGTTTCACACACGAGCTACACACACCAAGTCAGCTTCCCCCTTCAAACCATGGGCTTCAAAACTATCATCGAAGGCCAGCGTGTAAGGACCCAACTTTGTTTTTTTTTTTTTGTTTTTTTTTTTTTTTTTTGCTTTTGGTTTAAATCTCACTGTGGCTCAACTCCCTCGCTTGTTGCCGCTGCGCTCGGATGTCCTTGTTTGCTTTGCTCGATAGGCCATCATCACCAACGTGCAAGGTCGCTCCACGATCGTCGAGGGCCCCACTCGGGTATGTGCACAGACTCTGCCTTTTGTTTTTTCATTTTTCAAATTCCTGCCCCTCCTGCTAAACCCACACCCCCTCCTTTGACTTGTCTCGTTGTGCCTCGTCTGGTCTTGTCGGTCGTATCTCATCTTCCTGTCGTCATTGACACACTCCATCCATCACAGGTCTTCCTCTTCCGCAAGCAGTTCCGCCTGCTCAACCGCTACATTGCGGATCAGTCGCACTACCTTGTCATTCGCTACCACGACGGTAATGTCAAGCACACTCAGGGGTACGCACAGCTCATTTCTCTTGTCGATGGTTGATATTGTCATTACGATGGATGGCGGGGGCGGCGCGTTCAGGTGTGATGCGGTTTGTTCGATTTTTGGCTGATTCATTGTCGCATTCTTTTCTTTGTCTGTTTCCCTTCTACTTTGCACAGCCCAACCTCCGAGTTTGGCAACCCAATTGAGCACGAATCAATTCAAGTCATGCCAGTCATTTCGTTGGACGCCAACGAATGCCTCGTCGTGTACAAGCAGAACGATACCAACAAGGTGCTTCGTCGGATTGTGACTGGCCCTCAGCTCTTTGTTCCTGCACCCAGCGAGTGGCTGCACGACTTTGTTTGGCACGGATCTGCTCCAAACGACAAGGCGCACAAGATTCCCGGAGCCACCAAATTCACCAAGCTGCGAGTGAGTCCTGCTGCTTCTGCCAAACCAAAAATGTCATGTTGCAAATTCATACCGTGCTGTCCAACTCACTCACGTTCCAACCTTCCAGACTGTTCCAGACCAGTTCTACTTTAACGTGCGGGATGTCCGCACTGCCGACGATGCCCTCATCACCGTCAAGCTCATGCTGTTCTTCGAGCTCACCGACATTGAGACCATGCTCAACACCACCCACGACCCTGTTGCGGACTTTATCAACTCGAGCACCGCCGATGTCATTGCGTTTGCCTCGCAGCTGACCTATGAGCAGTTCTTGGAGAACACTGGTAAAGTTTGCAAGGCTGTTTTTGGTGTTCTTTCCTCGTCGTTCTCGCTGGTCTGGTAAAGTATGCAAGGCTGTTTTTTGGTGTTCTTTCCTCGTCGTTCTCGGTGGTCGGCTCACCCGAAATTGAGAGCTACAAGCAACTTGTCACTCGTGCTCAGCGCATTGGCTACAACATGACCAAGGTTGAGAGCTACAAGCAACTTGTCACTCGTGCTCAGCGCATTGGCTACAACATGACCAAGGTACTGTACTGGTTGCTGATTGTCTGCTTGTTGTCATGAACATGGTCGTATGTCCTCAAACTCATCCAAAAACGCGCCCAACATCAAACAAAAAAACGCAGGTCGTCTATCGTGGATACCACGCCAGCGACAACCTCCAGGCAATGCACGACAGCGCCATTCAAGCTCGCACACGTCTGCGCCTGGAGGCCGAGACTGAGGCCCAAAAGCAAGAGTTGGCCGATCTCAAGACCCACCGCGAGCTGGAACGCAACCGAAACATGCAAAAGATCGCCCGCGAGGATGCTGATCACAAAATCGCCATGGAGCGTGATGTCCAGAAGGCTCGCCTTGAAGCCGCGGCCAAGCAGCACGAGCAAGACCTCCAACAAAAGCTCAAGAACCAGGAGCTCGAGTTGGACATTAAGGCGCGAATCTCGACGCTCGACATTGAGTCTGACCGCAAGAAGCACGAGCTCACTCTTGAGATGCAGCAGCGCACGAATCAAGACAAGGCTGCCTTCTTTGAAAAGCTGCTCAAGATGGATGTCGACCTCACCAAATACTTGGTCTCCCAGTATCAACACCCTGATCGTATCATTCGCGTTGACGGCGTTCCTTCCGGCAACGTTCATGTCCATGAAAATTAAGGCCAACCGAAAAAATATTCTTCAATTCTAGCTTGTTTGTTGCATGTGCGGTTTCGTTTCTTTGTTTTCGTTTCTTTGTGTTGTTGGATTATTTTGGCGCCGTCGTCGAATGCTGTCCTTAAGTTGCGATTGTAAATGAATCTCGATGTGTAAGCAAAAGGTACATTTTCTATTTCTTTGACAGAAACTGTCGCATTTTCTATTTCTTTGACAGAAACTGTCGCTTGTTGAAATTACAATGGAACCAAAATCTTCTTGCAAATGTTTTAAAAAAAAAAAGTCAACCAGCCAAAAAAAGAAAAATGCCATCATAACTTCTTCTTCACCACCTATGCAGATGGCAACCACCCAAGGCGATGCTCAGATGCCGCATAGTTCAACGGACTTGCACCACCAAGGAAGACGGGGAGACTGTCCGCCGGCACTTGGGCGCGGAGCTCTTTCTGCGAAACAAAGTGGATCTTCTGGATGGTCTTTTTGCTGAGGAGCGATCGGACGGCGTACCAGCATGCATTGAACATCCAGGGCGCATCGACCAGATAGCAAGCACCCAAGCGCTCCGGGTAGTAGCTGGAGAGCAACGAGAACATGTCGCGGGTCAACTGCACATCATTGTTCGCCATCGAGTAACCGCGAAAGTCAATCACCAGGGTGAAGGCCTCGCTATTGGGAGCAACGCCATTGCCACTTGTTGTCAAAGGGTCTGCGGGTGCAAACAAGGCGTCGTTGTACGCCTTGGAGGAGGTGGCCGTCTCAACGAAAAGAACGACCATTCGCAAAAACTTTTGTGCGTCCGTCTTCTCTGGAAGATTTTTGGCAATCGAGAACACAATGATGGGCCGCCCGAGCTGATCGCGCTTGTGGAAAAACATGGTGCCCTTCACAAGCTCGCTTGCTACGTCGGCCGGCGTGGTCAAGTGAGGCCGAAACACATCATACCATGAAAAGAACTTTGAGTACATTTCTGTTGCGCGCCGACTGTCGTAATCGCGAGCGCGCAGAAAGCGCGTGAGCGTGGTGTCGTCCATAGGTGCATACTCGGGCTCGTACTTGGTTGGTAGCGCGCCGGCTGCGTGACTGTGGTGCTTGCCGTGATGCGGATGATGATGTGAGTGATGCGAGTTATGCGAATGGGTGTGAGCAGCAGCAGCAGCAGCAGCAGCAGCAGCAGCGTGGAAATCGCGCTCGTGTTGCTGTCGAAGCTGAACGGCCGCTGTGCGCAGGGCCAACAGTGCATTCAATCGAACTTCTTCTTCCTTGGAGGGAGCCTCGGCATCGAAAAACTCGTCTTCATCGTCGTCCTCTTCGTCCAAGTCTCGCACGTCCGAGTCAAGCATGCGGGAACCGTCGGCCTCCAAATCAGCCGCTGCAGCATGGTCATCCTGACGAACACTGTCTGCCGAGGTGCGTCTTGGTAACGATGCATGTTGTAGCGACGCAGCAGAAGAGGAAGAAGAGGTCGCAGCACCTGCAGCGGAAGAAGAGGCAGATGACAAAGGAGCCACGACAGCTGCAGAGGTGGAGGAGGCAGCAGCAGCAGCGGCGGCAGCGGCGGCGGCGGCGACAGAGGCGGCAGAGGCGGCAGAGGCGGAGGCGGCAGCAGCAGCAGCATTCTGCTGGTGACGTTGAGCATGTTGTTGTGGATCGTGGTGCTGATGCTGTTGTTGGGAATGCGGCTCGGCCATGTCGCTTCCACTCGTGCTACCTGGAGTATTCCGCCTTCGTGACGCAGCAGAGATGGAAAACTGCCGCATGCGCGCGCGATGGCGATTCTTCATGTCCTGGAGCTCGTCGTACTTTTCGGTGAGCAAGCCCAGTTCGACGCCCGTCTTTCGAAGCTCGCTGTGGATCTGATTCAGCGACTGCCGCTCGGGATCGTTTGCCAACCGCGTGGCCCATGTCGTTGAGAGCCGTTCGAGCGCACCATTCACGCCGTGGAACTTGCTCATGACGGCACCCGACGTTGCGGCGAACGTGTCGCTATGCCGCGTTAAGGCGTCGACATCGACTGTTGCCTGGCCTTCGACAGCAGCCACATAGCTCGATGGCTTTGTAGACGCCTCAATGTCGCCAAGAGCCTGCAGCAGTTGGCCCGCGACGCCCAGCAGCGACTCAAACTGCGCGCGGAGTGCTTCTGGGTAGAGCGCCGGGTTGTCCTCATGCGGCGAGCTGCCATCGCGGCCAACAGCACCACCAGCTCCCCCTGCGCCTCCTCCAAGCAACAGAGACGCACTTTGTCCGCCCAGGCCTGTCGAGAAGGCGGTGGACGAGCTGGAGGCGGCCTGCGACCCGGCCGGCTGCGCGCTCACAATCGCGCCGCTGGACGACGAGGCTGCAGCAGCTGCTGCCGTAGCGGCGGCGGCCACAGAGCCAGCTTGCTTGAGCGTCTGCAGGGCTTGGACCCACTGGACCCAGTCCGAGTCCGTATCGGTGCGCAGGTGGAAGGCCTGAACGAGATCGCGCAATATGATGAAGCGCGTTCGGTTTGGCTGCCGACCCGCCGAGCCTGCGTCCGCCGCGCCGCTGCCGCCCGTGCCGGTGCCTCCGTTTGCTGAAGCCGTCGGGCTTGGGCTCGTCAGACCGGCCTGGTGGGGTGCGGACGACGGCCCAGACGCAGACGCGGACGCGGACAACGGCCACAATGGAGCGGCATTGGACGCGTCGGCGCTGGGCGACATGGCCATCGCCTCGAGCGCGTGCTGCGGCTGACTAGGGTGGGCACTGTGAGGATGCGTCTGGTGCTGATGTTGGTTGGCGTGGTGGTGCGGGTCTGCTGGCCCTGATGCAAAGGCGATGGCTGGAACACCGCCGCCTTGGAGCTCAAGCACCGTCCCTGCTGCAGCCACGTTGATCGAGCCCCGGCAGCCCTTGCCGACATCGTTGCGAGACAGGTGGTACGACAGAATGCCAGAGCGGGAGAGGATAAAGTAGCGCTTCTGCCACCCGTCCACAAAGTTGGTCCACTTGAGCAGCGGGCCCGAAATGATGGCACCGCGCTCGTCCGTCATCGTTCGCCCTTCTTCTCCCCGCTTTCGACTGCAGTGAGGTTGGACAATGACAAAGGACAGGAAGAAGAAAGGACTGAACCATTGAATGACCAAAAAAAAAAACGATGGATGCACACCTCAGTCGCTCATTCAACTCGTGAACTGCTCGTCATTGAAAAACGCTGGTCAAGTTGGTTTTGTTGGTTTTGTATTGCGTGGAACACGAACGCACAACAACAAAATGGCGGCACTACATCTTGGCACCAAGCAAATCCGTCACAACACCACCGGTAAGCGACTCGGCAATCTCCTCGAGAGCAGTCTCAGCCTGCTCGCGGGTCAGCAGGGCGACCGTGCGGAAGAGCTTGAGTTGCGTGTCGTGCAGCGAGCGCTTCACTCCCGAGGTGCCGCTTGCAGTGACTGGCAGCGCAAAGGTATAGGACATGGACGCGTGCTTGACAAAGATCTCGTCTTCCGGGTTGACGTACTCGAGTGGAACGCTGGCGTCGGGCTTGGAAATGACAATGTTGGCGCGCTTTGGCTTGGCAGCAGGCTTCTTGCCTGACGCTGCGGCAGCGGCTGCAGACTCGGCCTCGACTTCGTCGTTGAGAAGCGGCAGGTCCTTGTACGCCTTCATGACAAACAGGTAGTGGGAAAAGTCGAATGCTTCGCCGTCCTCGAGCGCGAGCTTGATTTGCTGATGCAGCGAGGCGTGCAGCGGAGGCGCAAGTTGGAAGGGAATGTTAATAAAGCGCTCGTTGATAATCAGGCCGACATGGCCTTGGCTGCCTTCCAGAATCGGGGCGAGGCGAGTCGCCATGTTGTTTGGTGCATTCGCGCACTTGGACAGCACATAGTGGCGTATTTGCTTGATGCAATCCAGTTCCTGTTCAAAAGAGTAAGGTCAGCAATGTACATCAACAAACCAAGACAGAAACACACGCGCAGAGCAGAGGGCCCCCAAAAAACCCAAAAGCGTTGCCACCTTTCACACTCAAAAAAAAAAAAAAAAAAAAAAAAACCCTCGCGTTGCCGAACGCCACATACCTTGTGTGTTTGCATATTAATCACGGACATGACACCGTAAATTTCGCCGTAGGCATCCACCACCTTGATGACGCTTCCAATGTCTTGCTGGGCAGCCTGTGCGAAGAATTGGACAAAACGAACCTGAGCTCGAACGGAAACCATTACATACAAAACCACGAGCGTAATCTGCAACACATACCTGTGCCACAACAGTGTCGGCAATCTCTGACGTGTTGATGGTATTCACTCCAAGGAACCAGTGCTCCAAGATGGCCTTGATGCCGAAAAAGTCGGCTTCTTCGGGACCGACCGCGTCAAACTCGACCTGGATCTCTTCCTACCATCGCAATCCAAAAGTCGGGAACGAACAAACAATCCGCCATGGATGAGAACCAGCGTTCCAATAATCCCTTTCTGTGGCAAAGTGCATCAAAAACAAGCCCAGTAGCACTGCTGTCGCGCAGCCCACCGCCGCAGGATCGAGAGCGAGCATCTCTTCTTACGTCTGGTCCAACAAGCTCCTCCATGCCATCCTCATCGGCGCCATCGTCCTGACCATTGTCATCGTCGTCCTCGGCATCATCGTCGTCGTCGGCATTGTCAGCATCGTCCTCGTCTTCGCTCGCTTGGTCTGCGCTGGCCTTCTTGCCACGAGCACCTCGTGGAGCTGCAGCAGCGAGATCAGCGTGCTTTGCTCCAGCCGACGCTGCGGACGACTTTTGCTTGCCAGCGCCACCAACTGAGGCTGCTGCTGCTGATGATGATGATGATGATGACGACGACGACGACGACGTCGAGGGAGCCGCGGCGGACGACGAGGAGCGCGTCGGTGCAGCATCAAACTCTGGCTCGCTGTCCGATGTGTGGTACCCAGCGTCGTCGTCCTCGTCCTTGGACGGGTTGCGTTTCGATGTGCGGGCCTTGGTGCGACGGCCTTCGTCGCTCTCCGATGCCGGGCGTTTCGTTGGTCGGGCAGACATGTGAGTGTAGCCAACAGGAACGCAAAAATGAAGTGAAATAGCAGACTGAGCTGGCGAGAGGTGAAATTTAATCAGAATACAACACACCCAAAAACACGCATACGACGAGCTCGCACAATGAATCTTGCAGGGAGATGGGTGAGGAAAAGGGGGAAAAGTTTGGCACACTGGCAACAAAAATGCGCTCATTTCTTGCCCTTGCCCTTCGCAGGGGCGGCGGCGGGAGCAGCTGCGGCTGCTGGTGCGGCCTTTGCGGGCTTCTTGGATGGCTTCTTGGCGGCTTTTACTCGAGGGGGCCGTGGGGTTTCACGCGAATCTGGGTGGAAGGCAACGTCGTATGCGGGCGGGGTCTGCGCGTAGAGAAGATACGAGTCGAGGGTGGTGGACTGCACAGACGACCAGACTTTGAATGCAGTGAGGTCTGGTGTTCGCTTGACAGCAAAGCTGACCTTGCGAATCGTCTTGTCCATGTCAAACGCAAATCCTCGCGCAGTGACAGCTTCGGCGGCAATGTCGGGCACGACATTGACGGTGAACGGGCCATGCTTGACCTGCTGGTCGGCAGCCACCTTCTCGTCGAGAAGTCGCTTGAGCGAGAGCTGGTGGCCAGCGCGGCCAATGGCAGCGTCGTGGGCAGCGGCAGTCAAACTGTCGTTGGCCTTTTCGAGCTGTCCGACAGTCAATCGTTGAGTCAGAACATCGATAGTTGCTTGTGTTTTGTGCACCGCCGAGCGAAGCGTGTGAATGCGTTCTCGCGTGGCAGGAGTCGCTGATGGCGACGCGGCCGCGCGCTGCGAGAGGGCAGTAATTGTCTTCCGCAAAGCGGCAAGGCGCAGATGCTGCGCCTTCAAGAGTTCTGAAAGCTCCCCTTCTTCGGCAGTTGCTTGGGCCGGGGACACTGAGCGGGCAAGAGGCCGAGGAGTGTGCAGCTCCAGCTCACGCAGACGCTCTGCAGTTGCCTTGGCGGACAGCCTGCCGGTGGCTGGATCAATCTCACTGGCCGTGTCGACGCTAAAATCAAGCGTCTTGTTGACAAGGTCAACACCAGCAAGGAAGGGCTCGGCGGTGACCGTCGCGCCAAAGCTGCTTGTTGTTGGCTTTGCGTCGTCCGCTACTTGTTGCAGCGCTTGGGCAGCTTGGCTCACTAGAGTGGGATCGAGAGGCTGGTTGCTGTCCTGCAGCTTGCCGGCTTTCAGCTCGGCAAGGAGAGTGGCAACCTCATCGTCATTGTAGAGGGAGCCGGCCTGAAGGCTTGTTTGGTCGATCGCCCGGAAAACCTCGACGGCAGTGTCCACAGCAAGAGCGCTGTCCGTTTGGGCAGCAGCGTACTGCGACTCGTTTGCTTGAGCTCTCCTTTCGGCCTGCTGCAGGAAGGCGAACGCGGCTTCGGCCGACACGTTCTGGTTGGTCGCACCGTGCTCGAGCATGGTATCGGGAGTTTGGCGATACTGCTGCTCGAGAAGAGCGTGTCGGACATCTTCCGGAGTGGGAATCGACTCGTCCTCGATCGACTTGTCAATCTCAAAGTCGCTGATTCGGTTGATCTGGTCGATAATGAAAATGACCTCGGGCGAGAGGTTTTTATGCGACACGGCGGCTACTGCGCGCCGATCGCTCGACTGGAGGTGCTTGCGACGGCTTTGCTCTTGGATCAGAGTGCGAACCACGGCGGCGTGCACCACTTCGGTCTGCGTGGGGAAGTGGCGAGCAGCGAGCACTTGGGCGAGCTGGGAGAGCGACTCAAACTGAGAGTCCGTCCACACGGACGGGATTTCAGCGGCGGCACCCGTTTCAGAAGCCACGGAGGCCACAGGAACGGCGCGACGGCGGTTGGGCGAGGCGACCTGCTCGAGCGGGATGAGGAGGCGATCGAGCAAGGTCACAGCAGAGGCTCTGGTGGCACCACCACCGCCGCCAACACTACCACCACTACCACCAGCGGCAGCGGCAGCAACAGCCGCAGTGGAAGTCACGTACGATGCCGACGCAGCTGCCGAGAATGACGCCGGCCGGGCGAGCGACTAGCATGCGGCGAGAGAGAGATCTCGACATGTGCCGAGCGCTGCACGGTGCTTGTGTTGCTGCTAGTGCTAGTGCTGGTGTGGATGGCGCTGGGGCCATGCTCATCAGAGGGCCCGCGCTGAGGCCAGTCAGCGATGCAGCAGACGCACCGCCAGCGCGCAACAGCCGAGCATTGGAAGAAAGCATTGAAACAAAAAGCAGAGAGAGAGAAAAAAAAAAAAAAAAAAAAAAAAAAAAAAGATTGAAGTTTTGGTCGAGTCAAAAAAAAAAAAAACCAATAACAATGGCTTTTATTCTATGATCAAGTTGATCAACACGATACAACGATCGTATTCGTGTCTTAGAAATCTAGTCCCAGTTCCTTCCAAGTTTGTTGCTGAGCAGTCCAAGTTTTGTTTTTTTGAATACTTTTCGAAACGATGGCTGAGTTTCTATCGTCCGTCCACGGCACTGAGAAAGACAAGTGAGTGCAAAAAAATTTGGTTGGCGGAGGGGGGGTTTGTATTTTGACGTTGTTCTTCATTACAACATGACTGAGTGAGCGAAGAAGTGTTGAGGGAGTGAAAGCGAGTGAATGAATATTGTGCGCAATGGAAAGGCAAAAAAAAAAAAAAAGCTGCGATCTAACGTTGCTTTGACGTCTTTGAACGTCGACCGACCATCGTCCATGCATCTCATCGCTCTGTCATTCGTTTGTTTGTTTGTTTGCTTGCTTGCTTGCTGTTGTCCAGAGGCAACTGCTCGTTCTACTTCAAGATGGGCGCCTGCAGACACGGCGCGCGGTGCTCTCGCCTGCACATCAAGCCGACATTCTCGCCGACCATCCTGCTGCCCAACTTTTACAAGTCGCCGTACCCAAACCCCGCCAACCCAGAGTCCGGGCCGATCGACCCGGAAACGATGCTAGCCTCACAGGACCACTTTGACGAATTCTACGAGGACGTCTTCACAGAGATGGAGGAAAAGTACGGCGCCGTCGAGGAGATGAATGTCTGCGACAACCTTAGCGAGCACCTTGTTGGTAACACATACGTCAAGTTCCGACGAGAGGAAGACGCCGAACGTGCTGCCGAGGTAAATGAGCGAGAGATAGCGAGAGGGGGGAGGGAGAGAAAAAGCGATATATCGTGCGTTGTGTTTTGTTTTTGCAATGTCTTTGTTGCTCACTTGCTTTGCTCTGTTGTCCCATCCCTCTTCTTTTTCTTCTTCTTCTCTTCTTTTGCTCTCGCTGTTGCTCGACCTTTGCTGACATAGGACCTCAACAACAGATGGTTTGACGGCAGAGTCGTCTCTGCCGAGCTCTCCACCGTCACCGACTTTAACGAAGCGTGCTGCCGTCAGTATGACATTGGGCAGTGCAAGTTTGGCGGATTCTGCAACTTTATGCATATCAAGCCCATCTCGAAAGAGTTGCGGAGGGAAATTTATGGCCCGTCTCGGGATCACCGACGACGAGAGTCTTCTCGCTCTCGCTCGCGCTCGCGCTCGCCACGGCGGCGTTGATTTTTCAGTTTGAAGAGGGGAGGGGAGAGAAAGAGAGAGAGAGAGTGTGTGTGTGTGTGTGTGTTGTATGAAATGCTTGCCTGCTCGTATGCCTGTGTGTCTGTCGATTTTTGTGTTTGTTCCAATTCTGATTTTTTTTTTTTTCGTTGTTGTTGTTTAAAAAATTCTTCGTTTCTCGAGGCACTGTTCTCAGCATTCCAAAAACCTAGTCACAGCGATCAGTGTATCAAAATCTTTACTGAGCAATCCAAACCTGCACGAATCAACACGATCATCAAAGCAGAGAGTCTTCCGAGGCCTCATCCTGCGATGGCACATCAGGAGTCGTCTCTTCGGCAGGGACTGCGTCGGGCAGCGGAGCTGATTCAGCGGCCGCATCGGTGACTGGGTTGGCATCAGGCTGAGCTTCGTCGGATGCCTGTTCTGGCAATGGCTCGGCTGCAATGGTAGAATCGGGAGCAATCTCGGGCGCGTCGGCTTGCTGAATGGGCTGGTCTTCCGCTGGCGATGACTCTAGAGCGGGTGCCTCGACGGGCGCAGGTTGTTCAGCAGCAGCGGCAGGCTCTGGTGCAGCAGCGGCAGGCTCAACAGCGGCAGGCTCAACAGCGGCAGGCTCAACAGGTGCTTGCTCAACAGGTGCTTGCTCAGCAACTGCAGGCTCTGGTTCAACAACTGCAGGCTCTGGTTCAGCAACTGCAGGAGATGCTTGCGTTCTTGGCGGTGACTACCTCGACAGCTGCGGGTTCTTGGGCAGAATCCTGTTCGGGTGCAAGATCTGCGACAGGGACAGAAGCCTGTTCGGGTGCAAGATCTGCGACAGGGACAGAAGCGTTATCATCGGCTGCAGGAGCTGCCAGGGACAAGTCCACTGGAGCGTCAGCGAGCGGTGTCGCGGTGGTCAGAACAATCTCGACCGAGTCGGGATGCGACACGTCCACGTGAGGATGCTCACGCGACGACGGTACGCGAGCCGCGTCAGTCACGGTGAGGACGCTCGCGCTGTCTGTGAGCGACTGGGCAGGAATCTCGTTTGCCGGGTGCCTTGCAGGCGTGGATGGGGCGGACGCCGTCTCGAGCACAACCTCAGCTGGGAAGCGGCGAGTGGCATAGTCGGGCGTGCGCGGCTCGTCTCCGACGCCGAGAAGACCCTGCAAGCGCGCCACTTCGGCACCCATGGTGTCCATGCTCTCCTGAAGGCGAATGTTCTTCAGGGTCATGTCTTCAAGCAGCGACTGGAATCGCTTGTTCATTTCAAGGCAAAGCGAAAGCGTGATGGTGCTGTCTTGCTGCTTGCTGCCAAACATGGACGCCATCATGCCCTTGCTCTTGGAGCGCTGCTCGCGGTCGTAGTCAAACTTTTCAGGTGTGAGCGTGCCCATATCCTCGCGAGCAAAGTAGTGCTGGAGAATCTTGGTCTTTTGAGCGACTTGGTCTGTGATGGTGCAAGTGCAACAGCAGATCGGTCTCGTTCAGAAAAAAAAAAAAAGCACAACACATCAACAATGTTCATTCCGTCGCCTCCACCCCGCCTCCCTCCCTCCTTCAAAGAAATCATCGCCCCTCAACATACCAGTGAGTGCCTTTGCGTGGTCCTCCAAGAACGACACCTTTTCTTCACGGCGATCCAGGCGCTTTTGGAGATCAACAACTCGCTGAAGAAGGAGCTTGTTGTCTTCCTCGAGAACGCTCATCTCGCTCGTGTTGTCGTCGATAACCATGCTGCCGGGGCGTCCGTTGTGCGACGGCGATGGCGGAACGGAATCCTCTTCGATGAGCATCGAGGTGCGTTGGGAGCCGCCATTGTAGCCGTCGTGCAATCCAGGATGATGGTGCGAGGGAGTCGCAGGCACGGACGAGGTGAATTCAGAGGTACGAGACATGCTCGAGAAGGAGGACTGGCGACCCAACGACGAGCCGCTGTAAGGAGAGTGCGGCGCTGTTGGGTTGTCGAGGTCGGCGGCTCGCTTTTGGGCAATTTTGAGCTGCTTGGCAAAGTCTTTTGCCTGCATTGCCATCTTGCGATGCAGAATCTGCTTGTCGACTTCACCATCCGCCAGCTTGGTCGTGAGCTCTTGAATCTGTTCATTGGAGCTCGTGATGGCTGTCTCGTGATCGTGCACGGCAGTCGCGTACGCTTGTTGCAGCTCGGCGTGCGTGGCCGTCTACGGGAGAAAAGTCAGAGCAAAGATACAAGCATAATTCAAAATGAGCGTTCGAGAGACAGAGAGAGAGCATATCACAAAAATCTTCCAGAGATCGTTACCAGCTGCGAAACCTGCTCTTCCAAATCAGAAATTTTGGCATCCCGCTCCTCCAGCGTGGCCTGCAGTCGATCACGAGTACCGGTGACCTCCTGCAATGTAGCGGCGGTAGTTGCAGCTTCCTCAGTCATGGTACTGACAGTCTCGGTGAGAGCCTGCTTGTCGGTTTCAAGAGCAACAATGGTTGCGTTCGCGGTGGTGAGATTCTGCTCCAGTGTGCTGATGGTGCCTTCCAAGCCCTGGATTTTCGCGTTGGCGTCGAGGAGTTTGGAGTCCAGCTCAAACTTGGTTGCTTGGACAAGCTCCAGCGTGTTGACGCGCTCTTCCAGCAGCTTCTTGTTGTCGAGGAGCATTGTCACTGTCTCCCGCTCTTGCTCCAATTGCTGCTGCATCGACGTGTTGGTCTGCTGCGCTTGAGCAAGCTGCTGCGCGTTCGTTTCAGCCAGCGTCGTGGCGTCCTTGATGCGGCCCCACAACAGATCGCTCTCCGTCTGGCCACGCTCGAGCTTTGCTTTGTGCTCCGAGACTTCGCGGTCACGCTGCTCCAGCTCCTGCTGCTTGGTCTTTTCGGTTTGCTGGAGGCTCTGCAGCGTTGACGTGTAGGTTGCGCGAACGGCAGCCGTCTCTTCTTTGGACTCGGCCAGTTTCTTTTCAGACTTGGCCAGGTTCTGCTTGACCTGGTCGTGCGCCTCGACTTCGCTCTGCAGCCGAGTCTGCATCCACTTGACCTGAGTGGTGGCAGCTTCATGCTCGTCAGTCTTTTGCTTGAGCGACGCGGTCAAGTCGGCAACCGTCTTGGTGAGTGTTTGGCACTCTGCCACCGATGTCGCACACTTGTCGTCCAGACCCGCGACGCGTTCACTCAAGCGCATGGTTTGGGCAACAAGCTCGCCCTCCGATGTCTCGAGCGACTCCTTGGCTTCGCGCAGCTCGGCCAGCTCCTTTTGCTGCTTCTCGTTGGTCGCTCGCAAGGCGGCCAGCTCGGTCTCCGAAGCCTGGCTCGACGTCTTGCTCAAGGCCTGGGCCGCAGCGTACTCTGTTTGGCGAGCGTCCAAGTCTGCCTGCAGACCGTCCTTAGCGGCACGCGCCTCCTCGAGCGACTTTCGAAGCTGCTCCATCTCGCGGACGAGTTCGGCAACGGCACCTCCGCTCGCCGTGCTGCCATCCGCATTACCGGCCGCAGAAGGGGCTGACGCTGCCGCTGTCGAGTCACCCGAAGGAGCGTCTGCAGAAGAGGCCGCGCCGTCCACAAGAGCAGCGGTTGCTTGAGTCCCGCTACCTGCCATCAAGGCGCGCTTTTCGAGTCTCTCCTGCTCCAGTGCCGACTGGAGCGTGGCCGCCTGCTTGGCGGTGGCGGCGTGGGTCGTTTCGAGCTTGCTCAGCTTATCTGCTGCTTGCGTGTGCGCCTGCTGCTCGCGGGTCAGTGCGGCCAGGGTCTCGTCCAGCTTTGTTTTGTTGGCCTTGCTCTCTGGTCGCAGCTTTTTGAGCTCCGTGTCCATGTTCCGGAAATCGTCGGTGAGCGTGTCGAGCCGCTTCTTGAGCTGCGTCTTCTCGGCCAGAATGTCGGCGACCTTGACCTTCTTGTCCTTGATCTGCTGGAGCTCCTCGAGCTGTGCCAGCTGGCCAATGTAACGCTTTTCCTTCTCGGCAAACTCGTACTTGGCCGTCTTGAGCGAGACCAGCTCGTGCTGCATCATTGCAAACTCGTCGATCGAGATGGTCATTGTGTTTGGGCGCGCGGCCGGAGCAGCTGGGGTTGCGGCAGACGCAGACGCAGACGCATCCGACTGCGGAGGGGCCGGTTCTGATGATGCTGATGATGCTGCCGAGGACGACGACGACGACGGCGGCGCCGCCACCGCACCAGCAGCAGCAGCATCCGTGGTTGTTAACGCAGTTGCTGCTGAAGTGGCAGCCGGATCGCTGCTGGTCGCTGCGCTGGAAGCAATCGTCAAATCCGCCATCGTGACTGGAAATTAAAAAAAAAAAAACAATAAAAGAAATAAAAGAAATAATAAAAAAATTGAAAGAAAAAATTGAAAGAAAAAAAAATATGCACAAAGACTGGATTTGACTTTCTTTTTGAATGTCAAACTGTTGTTCTCAGACAGTATGAGAAACTGCTGGTCGTGTGACGGTTGAAATTGATGAAACAAAAGAAAACGAGCAAAAGAAGAAGAAAGATCCTGCCTTGACAGGCAAAACTCTACACCAAAGAAACAAAAAAACTAAAGCGCAGGCTCAAAAATACATGAGGACAGGACACGGTGGAGGCGTTGGCGGGCGTTTTGGACACGAGAGCGTGCCAAAGCATTGGTCTTGCTGGGTGGAATAATGCTTCCGCTGGTGTGAATCTTGGCTGGCCCTTGAGCCAGCACTTCAATCCACGCCTCGCATTCAAGCACATTGACCTCTGCACATTCCACGGTTGTCCCATCGAGCAGTGTTTTTGTTGTGTAATGCACACTGATATCTTCGAGCCCACTCTGCGGCGTCATTGTGTGAAGAGTGTTAGTTTGCCAATCTTGAAGGCTCGTGCTGAACGTCAGCCGAGAAACAGACAACAAAGAGGCTTACCTCAATCAACCGCTGCACAACAGCCCTGGGCTCAATTCGATTGTTCCGGTTGTTGAGAGTCGCATCGAAAGGCCGCGCGGAAGAGCTTGGTAAAGAGTCTAGCAGAATGACGTTGTCGCGAAACGAGAGCACACCATGGACCGCGGCAGTGGCCACGCCAGGCCCGGTCATGCGAGGAATGATGGAAGAAGCAAGCTGCAGGCGCGAGGGTGGAGGGGGGGGGAATGCGGGTGTGGGGGACAAAACAGACCCAACTGAGTGAATGCGCACACACCCAGAAAAAAAATCAGAAAACATTGCAGAATGATCGAGTGCCAACCTGGTGCGAAACTTGAAGACGACAATCTCTGTTTGTCGATGGCATTCTAATGGTATCTCCGTGCTCAAGAATGTGCACTGCTGGAGGGGAGAGAGCAGCATGGAAATTCTGCTCCAGATCCGAGGTCAGATCGTAGATGGCCGACCGTTGATCGGATTTGCCAGGTAGCAGCAACACAATGTTGGATGGGATTAAATCTGGGCGAACATTCTTGAGAAGTGAGCCAACGTCGGACGTGGCTAGCCGGCGATCGAGTGGAATGTACGAGACGGCCATTTGCAAAGGCTGGAAGGGCTGCAGCAAGTCCTCTGGCTGGTAGCTCGGGTCTGAACCAAGTGAGAGCAAGAAAGCAATGCATTCGCGGTGTTGAAAGGGTCAGTCAGTGATTGAGCCCAACACCAACCACACTCGCTCGCGGCCACTACGTACCAGTCAAAATCGTCATGTTACGCGAGTCGTTGCCCCAGAGGCGAAGAAAGTGCAGCGCGTCACCAAAACGCAATGAAGGATGACTAGCAAGCACGATGCATTGCCGCTGTAGAAACACAGCCGGAACGGCGGGAGTTGTCAAGGAACGAACGGATGCAGCAACGGTCGCAACTTGGTGCAGCTTTTGGCTGTCAATCCACTCGACATGAGGGAATGGGTTTTCAGGGAGATAGACCTGCTCTTGTCGCTCGCTGGCTAGCCATTCCGACATGATGTTGGCGAAGGCAACGGCGGCGTTCGCTTCGGGAGACACCAAGTAAATCGGGACGCGCGCCAAGTTGGCTGCAATGAGCGTATGGTGGACTGCCTCGATGAGCTCGAGCGTAGCAACGGAGGCTGGTGTGCAAGGCAGCAGGACATTTCCGCCTTGTTGTAGAGAGTGAACTGTGCAATTGTCGACGCAAGCAAAAGTCAGAACGCCTCGATCACCCCAGTTTAGCAGCTGTAAGCGCCGGGGAGCTGCGTACCTATTGTCGAGCAAACTTTTTGGGTCGCGTCGGAGTATGGCAAGGGCGCGGCAGGGTTGAGATCGGCCACGACCAGGACGTCAAACTTCGAACCAGGCGCCATGATAGACCTGGGAGGCAAATTGGACAACGGGTCTTCGCTCGCCACCCCAAGGTGCAATGGGCTCATATCAAACGCTTGGGCGTGGAACTGTGAGCTCGGCAGCGATGTTGCGGCCATGTAAAAAACCTGAGCCATCCAATTTACAAGCATGAGTATCATCACGCCGGACGGGCAATTCTCCTGGGACAATTTTGCGCGCGTACTCGTTCGGTGGGTGTCTCAATCACCCAGTTGCAGCAACCAATTCCAAATCCAGAGCTTGTTGGTATTATGTCGCACAGATTGTACAGGTTCTGCTCATCACACATGGCATTGAGTTCGGAAACAAATGCTTGCCTGCCTGCTACAACATCAAAAAACAACGCAGCTTCAGCTCAGATTTTCCTTGGCTTACCACACGTTGATTGAAACTCAAGCGGTGAATTTTTGAAATGCATGACTCGAGCTCGGCAAGGCTGTACCACGACGCACAAAACGCGGGCAAAGTAATGTCGAAATGCTCGGTAGCAGTCGCAGCGTGTGCTCGGCCTGTAGACCAACTGCTGCCATAGCCGGACTGTACGAAATGCTTGGTCACACATCGCATTGTCTCTTCCATGAGTAATCTGAAAGTGCACGTCGCGTTGAGCGACACACAGGGGGAAAGTGAGATGCGGCGGAGCTGCAAAGCGCAAAAACACGGATTGAGCAGCATCGCCCAATTACCGCGCAAATGGAACCGTGGCATCGGTGGCATAAACTCGTCCGGCAAATGCAGTGCGCTCTGTGACAAACGGAAGCGCCTGCATGGCTTGTGGACTCGAGATCAAGATTGCATCCACGTCGGCCATGTCGACTGCGAACAGGTCTGTCGGGATGACCGCAGCTTGCAGGCGCTCCGCCGTTGCCTCGGTGGCACGGCCAAGAAGTCCATCTGTAGTCTTGTTGTTGCCTGGGATGGTTGACTGGAACACGGACGCCTTCGGAGACGACGATGCGCTCGCATCCAGCCACCGCGTCGACTCGAACGCTGCATCCAATACCGAGCATTGCAAAAAAACAAAACACGGGATGCAGAGCAAAACGCGTTATGAGTGTAGTGAGCTACGGATTCCACGACCATCCCTACGATTGCGACCGTCGCAGCGATCGGGAGGGCGGGGGGGAGCAAAGCCTCACCGCAATCCACCAGCACGCAAGTCTCGCCGAAACGCAGCAGCACGCATGGTGCGGATGGACGCATCCCGGCACAGTGCTGTTGTTCAATGGAAGATCACAGTGGGAGGATGAGCAGAAGATCTCGCGAGAGGATGGCATCGGATGACTCGCATTGGCTTACCAGCTCCATTCTCTCGACTCTTCACTCTCAATCGTTTAGAAGGGGGGGGGGGAAATGAAAGGGAGTGACAAAGCGCCAAACACGTCCAACAATAAACAGTTACAATCTTGTATTAAAACCAGCATCACAGGAACACACACATAGAAACCAAGAGAAGAGGGAAAAAATATGCAAAAAACCACCAATCGCATCTCAGCAACAGCCGGAACGTGGCAAAGCAGGGGGGCAGTCGTGTCATCAAAGCAATCAATCGTAACGAGCTCCAAGGCGACGCTCACTTGAGTTGGGTTACCAATACAGCGGTGAGAATACCGGCAACGATCAAAACAATCACAAGCAGACAAATCATCTTGCTTCGCGCCTTTTTCTGCTCGCCAAAAGAGGATGAACACAGCAGTCGAATCAAAGGTTAGAAATGAGGGATTATCTCGTAACGCAAACAAAAAAAATGAAGCCGAGAACCAAACAAAAAAAGAAGACACACCTGGTACGTGGCAGCGCTCTCGAGTTGCTCGCGGCCTTGCTCGACATGGGAATGCACCTGATCAATGTTGCCTTCAATAGAATCTGGAATCAAGGTCATACAACAACAAACGAAGGGGAAAAAAATTGAGTCGGCACCAAGCCTTTGATTCCGTGTAACAACAAGCAACCCCATACCAAGCATTTGGCCTTGGTCGTTGATCATGGCACCAAGATCCTTGAAGATTTCGTTGACTTCGATAATGGTGGACTCAATTTCCTTGATGCCGCGCTCGCGCTCTTCAATCTGGTGCTCGTTGTATTCGACCTCATTATCCAGTGCCGAAATCTGGTTTCTGCAAGAAAAACAAGCAACACGACAAAAAAAGGGGGGGAGAGAGCAATGAGCATTCGTAGACATTGGACAGCGCCTCAATCAAAAATCACACCACACACACACAACTGCCACTTACTGCCGATCATTCAAAAGTCGAGTGTCTTCGCTCATATCCTCGTCAAACCCAGGGTGGCCGCTGTGCGAGTCGGGCACAATAGAGTGTGCGCGGTGCTTGGCGACATCGGCCTTCTCCTTGGAGGCAGCGAGCTTCTCGACGTCGGCAAACGAGCGCAGGGCCGTCTGCAAGTGGGAGGACAGCTTTTGCTGCTGCTGCTTGCGGCTGCGTGCCTCGTTGGCCGAGCCGCCGTCAATCAGACCAAGCTGGCGAATGCTCTGGCCTGCCTCGCGCGCAAGGCGTCGTGTGGCATTCTGGACGGTGTGCATGCGCTCTCGGACCTCGGGGGTGTCCTTGGCCGTTCCCAGCAGGCCGACCATCCGTTGGAGGGAAATGACGTTCTGGGTGATTTGGGTAATGTTGCTGCTCACTCGCTCGTTGAGGGCGACATAGTTGGAATCGCCGTCTGCACCGCGCGGCACTGTAGGAGACCCAAAGAAAAAAACGGGGCAGGTTGACGAGGAGGTCAGTGAGTGGAGGTCAAGCTGAATGCTGAACGCTGAATGGGGAGGGAAAGAATGGGCTTTTGTCTGTTGAGTGTGCTTCTCTCGTTTGATCCAGCATTTGATCGCCATGCTGGTTTTTGCATTGCTTATTGAAACTTGTTTCCATTGCAATTGCACTGACATAAACCATCCCATAGTCACAAATCATCATGTGGGTCGGAACTTTTTAAAAAAATAATAAAAGCGAGGGTGACGCGAGATTACGAGCGCCTCGTCGTCGGTCGAGTCAAGGGCTACACCCGAGCGAGCGCGTCAAGCAAGCACGAGGGCGGCTCTTAGAGCACAGAACCATATCGGGGGAGTGGGGGTGCTGGACTGGCACAATAGAAGAGGAAGACTCAAAAAGCCAATTTTTTTTTAAAAAAAAAAAAAAAAAAAAAAAAAAAGAGGGAAACGAAAAGCCAGGCGTTTGGTTGGTAGCAACTGTCCCAGGCAGTCGTCAGAAGTGGGGAAGGAGGAGGACAGCCACTGCAGCACCCTACTCTTGCGAGCAGTGTGAGGCAAGCGGGTGTTCGCCTCCCTCCTGCCTTTTCCTTTCAACCGCCGTACAGCCGAAGGTTGTCGTTATGCTTTTTTTTTTTCTGCTTTTTTTTTTTCGTTTTCCTCGTCTTGCTTTCAAGCTCTTCTTTGTCGTCGTGTTGGGGAGCCAAGGCACTCCCCCTCCCCCGAGGGACGGTGTGGCTGCAATCCCATACAACGGCACAAACACGCACTGCTGACTCTCTGTCTGCATCAGCGAAGCGAGCTTCGAGTCAGACAAAACGCCGTGCTTTTTTTTTTTTTTTTTTTTTTTATGTGAGTCCTCGTTTTGTTTGCTTGTGCTCCCTTTCTCCCTCCTCCAGTGGGCGCGGGCGCGTGCGGCGTGTAAATGCTAGTATAGCGTGCGAAACGCTTACTGGAACGCATCGTCATCGCACCTGAGCTGCCGGAAGGACCGCCGAACGATCCGCTTGCGCTGCCAAACTGCCGCCCAGAGCCCAAACTATCGCCAAAACTCATTGTCGCTCAAGAGAAAACCAAAATGGATGACTGAGACAGGTCAGACAACCAATGCAAGTGAAGAAACGCGCTCTACTGCACCTCGATGAGCGTGGAGAGCAGAACAACAAGGATAATTGACAACAGACGAACAACGCAACATCGGGGAGGGGGAAAAAAAAACAAAAACACGCTACTCCATTTACTCATCTTCCTCCTCCTCCTCTTCTTCATCATCTTCATCGTCGTCGTCGTCGTCGTCGTCTTCGTCTTCGTCTTCGTCAGAATCCTCTTCGTCGGACCATTCATCCTCAGAGTTGTATGGAGGGAGATCAAACCGAATGTTGGCTGGACGAGCGGGATGCCGGTCCTTTTTATCCGCGCCGTCCGATGGCACGCGAAGAATGCTCGGAGACGGCTGCTTGTTGCGATCAAAAGCAATAATGGGTCCTGGAGCTTCCAGCGGGATGGCCACAGGAGCGGCAACAACAGCTGCCGGCGCATCGGCAGACGGAGTCGAGGCAGGTTGCTCGACTTGTGCAGTGCTCTCTTCAACCGACGGCACAAGCGATTCAGATGGCGTCGCAAAACTATCAGCGCTGTCCTCTTCGTGTCTATTCGTGGGCTCCGACGATGCGTTCGCCTCAATCTCTTCCGAGTGCATCACGCTGGTGATGAGCGACGGGCGCGTGGATTCCTCGTCTTCAGCTGGTGCATTGTCCGACTCGATACCATGGGCAGCTGTAGTTGCGTCGGGCTCGGCATCCTCAGCAACGTCGGGGTGAGGAGCTTCAGTTGACTCGGGCTCGGCCGACGGCTCGGGCTTCTTGCCACTGTCAGATCGGAAAGACGAGGTGGCCGAAGAAATGTCAGCGGCAGACAGGTCGCCTTCGGAAAGAATGGAGGTATCGCCGGCGCCATCGAAGGCGGCATCGAATGGATCGTCGACTTCGAACGGGTTGGAACTGGAAGGAGAAGGCAGACCCTTGTTGGTGGAGGTGGCACCCGTCGACGCCTGGGCAAACGGATCTGCAGTTTCAGTGGAAGACGCATCCGCCACCTTGAACGACGACTCGAACGGATCTTGGTTGTCGGAAACGGCCTCGTCAAACTTGGTATCGAAAGGATCCTGCGCAGTCGCGGCAGAAGCGGTGTTTAGCGGTGCGCCACTGAAGGCTGAATCAAATGGATCTTGGGCGTTCGTGGAAGCAGCGACGGGTGCGTTGTCGAAAGCAGAGGCGAACGGGTCGACAGCAGCATGCCCAGCAGCAGAAGGTGCAGCGAACGCATCGAATGCATCAAACTTGTCCAGACCTGCTCCAGCCGAAACAGCAGGCTGAGGAATTGGCTCGACTGTAGGCAGCGTTGCAGTGTTGGCAGGAGCTGCTGGGGCGGCAGCAGGTGCAGGGTTGGGGTTTGAATCCGACCGGGGCTTGGTTGTGCTAATCGAAAAGCGAATGTTGGCGACACCATTGTCCTCATCTTCGTCGGAAGAGGACTCTACATCACCATCGCTGGCGTTGAACGAGCGACGGACGGGTTGCTTCACCTTGCGAGACGCGACGGGCTGCTCCAAGTCAATCTTGAATCCGAGCGACGGAGCTCCAGCGGTCGAAGCGGCGCTGGTGTTTGGCGCCGACGCTGCTTTTGGTCGCGTCCGAACAACGGCAGGCCTGGGCGCTTCGGTGGCGGTCGAGGCCACCGATGCCTTGGATGTCGCTGGCGCGCTTGCTGCTGCGACTGCTGATGCACCACCAAACATGCCTTGAACAACGCCCTGAGTCTGTAGTTGCAACAAGGTATCGCCCCGCACCAACGAAAAAGGCCCAGCGTGAGTCAAAAGAACGGCACAAAGTGTCGACATGCATCTGCAGACTCCGATTTCGCACCTTCAACTCTTCGAGCGACTGCACGAGCTTTTCCTTTTCGGCTGTCGCCTGCCGTGATTTGGCACGGGCCATTCGCTCAATGGCGGCTTTGTGATAGGCAGCCTTGACAAAGCGACGAGCGCTCTTCAGATCCTGCTGCGCAGTCGCTTCCTCTGCCTGTGTTTCGAACGCAACGCGCTGTTCGCGCGCCTGTTGCTCCTTGGCATTGGCCATTTCGACAAGCGCCTCCATTTCTAGCATGTTTTCCTCGGTAGCTACGACCTCTGCGCCGAACACAGCTTCGGCAGCGAGGCGGGCGGCGTGCTCCTCGACCAACTTGGCAAAATGCCGCAGTGCTTGTTCCTCGAGCATGAATCGCTCCAGCTCGACCTCCTCTTTCAAGGCGTCTCGCTCGTCGATGGTCAGCTCGATTTGCTGTTGCAGGAGCAGTTTTAGAGGAGCCAAACAGAACCCAAACAAAAAAAACCAGTGAGACAACCACCATCCAACAATTCAATCCAAATTCGCGTGATCGACTCGTCAAAGTGAAGTGTTTGATTTGGAATCGTTCGATCCTTTTCTCGCTCTCGTTCGTGCAAGCCAAGAAAGCAAGCAGGTTTTTTGATGTGTTTTCGGCACATTCGGATGCTCGGGAATTTTTTCAAACCCCAAAGAAACGGAGTGCGACGATGACGGAACAGAAAACAAAGGGGAAAAAAACCAAAAAAACCAAAACCGAAAAAAAAAAAAAAAAAAATCACCGCATCCCTAACAACTCGGGCTTACATTGCTCTTGTCATCGGCGCGGGTGGACGAGGCCTCGGCGCGTGCTAGCTGGACCTCGGCATGGCGTCGCTTCTTACGTCGCTCGTGGCGATCCTTCTCCTTGCGATTCTCGCGGCGCATGCGCTCGGCATCAAACAGGGAAAAGTAAAACTCGCTGGCTTGCTCGTCAACCGAGCCCTGGTGCTGCAGCGCGGTTGGGCTGCCTGCCGCATCGCTGGCAACCGCCGCCACAGCTCGGTTGACCGGCACGGCGATTGCAGCGGACGACGCAGCAGCAGCAGCAGCAGGCTGGCTTGCCGCAGTCCGTGGTGGGGGAGTGGGTGCTTCGTCGCCGTCGCTGTTCACGTTCGGTGCAACTGCTGCCAATGGCGGTAGCTGTGCGTTCGGCTTCCCGTTGTTCTTCTTCTTGTCCTTGTCCTTGTCCTTGTCTTTGCTGTTGTTGGCATTGGCGTGGTTGGTGCTGGCAGCAGGTGGAGGTGCGAGCGTCGACTGCCGTGAGAGCTCGAGCAGAATGCCCTGCACCCACTGCTCCATGTCGCTCTCGTCGGCGGCCGCAAAGTAGACCTCGCGCATGTGTGTGTCGCCTCCCTTGACCGGAGGGAAGCACAGCTTGAACAGCGTGGCCTGAGTCATGCCGAGCTTGGCCAGAGTGTCAATGTCGTCGACAATCTCAACCATCGCCGAGCTCACGTCCAACATGAGCTTGGCCGGAGTGCCGTGCTCCTTGCTCTCAAAGTAGTACAAGTGGCTGCCGCACAGCGACATCCAGAACCGCTTCCACGATTTCGACAGGAAGCCCGCCTGCAACGACAGCAGAAATCCCTGTCGTGCAGGCGGAGGCAGACTCTGCCGCGTTACCTTGCTGCGCGGCGCGACAGCAGTCATCGTTTTCTCCTAGCGAATGAAAGACGAAGAATAAAGACGAAGATAAAAGACACAGAGATTGAAGAGAGAGCGAAAAGTTCACCACAGAAAGCATTGATTTTGTTCTCATTCTTTTCTTCATTTCCTCAATCCCGTCCTCCGCGCCTACTTCTCAGTGTACGACAAGTCCACCACTCCTCCTCGTGTCGGTCTGGCTCCTTCTCGCCACCCTTAAACCGAAAGGCGCACGTCGCTGTTCTAGCGCCGCCCGGTCGATGCGGCATTGATTTTGACACAGGTTGGGTTGTTTTGGCGACTTGGTACTATCCCGATCATTAAATTTCGACCCCCCCTCTTTTTTTCACTTTTTCGCCCTCCCTGGGACCTGTGTTGCTTTCCGTCTCGCCCGCGGAATGTTCATTCATGGTACGGTGTACCGAACGTCTGATGAACACCGGGAGCGGGGGTTGTGAGTCATATCAGAGCAGCAGCGAGCAAAATAAAAAATATAAGGAAACTCAAAAAATTCACTTTTCCCGCCCAAATTTTGGTTTGGGTTCAGTCTTTTTGTGCGCATGACTCGCACACGCAGTCAGTCCACGTCCCGCGTGGCTCCCAGACAGCCCCCGGTATGGCTGCGTCAAACTTCACCAAAAAGACCGCTGCCCGTGC